CGTTAGGCATTTTCGGGGTGCAATTTTGGGGCTTCTCCGTCCTTCACTGCCATGGTGTTTTCCCATCCGGGGACCAGCAGCAGCAGCAGCAGCAGCAGCAAAAGCTTCTGCAGCAGCAGGAGGACAAGGTAGCCAAAATCCATAGCAGCAGCAAGAGGAAAAAGCGGCCTGCCATGGCGTTTTCCCATCGGGGGCCAGCAAAAGCATCTGCAGCAGCAGGAGGAAAAGGTAGCCAAAATTCATAGCAGCAGCAAGAGGAAAAAGTAGCCAAAATCATCATTTTCTGTGGGTTTCAGAAGTTACGTTAGGGATTTTCGGGGTGCAATTTTGGGGCTTCTCCGTCCTTCACTGCCATGGTGTTTTCCCATCCGGGGACCAGCAGCAGCAGCAGCAAAAGCCTCTGCAGCAGCAGGAGGAAAAGGTAGCCAAAATTCATCGCAACAGCAAGAAGAAAAAGCAGCCAAAATCATCATTTTCTATGGGTGTCAGAAGTTGTGTTAAGCATTTTTGGGGTGCAATTTTGGGGCTTCTTCGTCCTTCACTGCTATAGGATTTTTTTCCATCCGGGGGCTGTCTTTTGAACAGCAGCAGCAGCAGCAGCAGCAGGAGGAAATAGTAGCGAAAATCACGTGCTTCTACTATACTCCGTTTGAACAGAAGGAGCAGCAGGAGAAAAAGCAGCAGCAGCAGCAGAAGGAAGAAAGTGGCTCAAATCATCGTTTTCTATGGGTTTCAAACGGGGACCAGCAGCAGCAAAAGCCAAAATTCATAGCAGCAGCAAGAGGAAAAAGCAGCCAAAATCATTTTTTTCTATAGGTTTCAGAAATTACATTGGGCATTTTGGGGTGCAATTTTGGGGCTTCTCCGTCCTTCACTGCCATGGTGTTTTCCCATCCGGGGACCAGCAGCAGCAGCAGCAAAAGCCTCTGCAGCAGCAGGAGGAAAAGGTAGCCAAAATCATCATTTTCTATGGGTTTCAGAAGTTACGTTAGGCATTTTCGGGGTGTAATTTTGGAGCTTCTCTGTTTTCCCATCCGGGGACCAGCAGCAGCAGCAGCAGCAAAAGCCTCTGCAGCAGCAGGAGGAAAAGGTAGCCAAAATTCATCGCAACAGCAAGAAGAAAAAGCAGCCAAAATCATCATTTTCTATGGGTTTCAGAAGTTGCGTTAGGCATTTTTGGGGTGCAATTTTGGGGCTTCTTCGTCCTTCACTGCCATGATGTTTTCCCACCCGAGGACCAGCAGCAGCAGCAGCAAAAACGTCTGCAGCAGGAGGAAAAGGTAGCCAAAATTCATAGCAGCAGCAAGAGGAAAAAGGTGCCAAAATCATCATTTTCTATGGGTTTCAGAAGTTACGTTAGGCATTTTCGGGGTGCAATTTTAGGGCTTCTCCGTCCTTCACTACCATGGTGTTTTCCCATCCGGGCGCAGCAGCAGCAAAAGCTTCTGCAGCAGCAGGAGGACAAGGTAGCCAAAATTCATAGCAGCAGCAAGAGGAAAAAGGTGCCAAAATCATCATTTTCTATGGGTTTCAGAAGTTACGTTAGGCATTTTCGGGGTGCAATTTTGGGGCTTCTCCGTCCTTCACTGCCATGGTGTTTTCCCATCCGGGGACCAGCAGCAGCAGCAGCAGCAGCAGCAAAAGCTTCTGCAGCAGCAGGAGGACAAGGTAGCCAAAATCCATAGCAGCAGCAAGAGGAAAAAGCGGCCTGCCATGGCGTTTTCCCATCGGGGGCCAGCAAAAGCTTCTGCAGCAGCAGGAGGAAAAGGTAGCAAAAATTCATAGCAGCAGCAAGAGGAAAAAGTAGCCAAAATCATCATTTTCTGTGGGTTTCAGAAGTTACGTTAGGGATTTTCGGGGTGCAATTTTGGGGCTTCTCCGTCCTTCACTGCCATGGTGTTTTCCCATCCGGGGACCAGCAGCAGCAGCAAAAGCCTCTGCAGCAGCACGAGGAAAAGGTAGCCAAAATTGTTCCAACACCCCATCGCAACAGCAAGAAGAAAAAGCAGCCAAAATCATCATTTTCTATGGGTGTCAGAAGTTGTGTTAGGCATTTTTGGGGTGCAATTTTGGGGCTTCTTCGTCCTTCACTGCTATAGGATTTTTTTCCATCCGGGGGCTGTCTTTTGAACAGCAGCAGCAGCAGCAGGAGGAAATAGTAGCGAAAATCACGTGCTTCTACATCTTCTACTATACTCCGTTTGAACAGAAGGAGCAGCAGGAGAAAAAGCAGCAGCAGCAGCAGAAGGAAGAAAGTGGCTCAAATCATCGTTTTCTATGGGTTTCAAACGGGGACCAGCAGCAGCAAAAGCCAAAATTCATAGCAGCAGCAAGAGGAAAAAGCAGCCAAAATCATTTTTTTCTATAGGTTTCAGAAATTACATTGGGCATTTTGGGGTGCAATTTTGGGGCTTCTCCGTCCTTCACTGCCATGGTGTTTTCCCATCCGGGGACCAGCAGCAGCAGCAGCAAAAGCCTCTGCAGCAGCAGGAGGAAAAGGTAGCCAAAATCATCATTTTCTATGGGTTTCAGAAGTTACGTTAGGCATTTTCGGGGTGCAATTTTGGAGCTTCTCTGTCCTTTCACTGCGATAGTGTTTTCCCATCCGGGGACCAGCAGCAGCAGCAGCAAAAGCCTCTGCAGCAGTAGGAGGAAAAGGTAGCCAAAATTCATAGCAGCAGCAAGAGGAAAAAGGTTCCAAAATCATCATTTTCTATGGCTTTCAGAAGTTACGTTAGGCATTTTCGGGGTGCAATTTTGGGGCTTCTCCGTCCTTCACTGCCATGGTGTTTTCCCATCCGGGGACCAGCAGCAGCAGCAGCAAAAGCTTCTGCAGCAGCAGGAGGAAAAGGTAGCCAAAATTCATAGCAGCAGCAAGAGGAAAAAGGTGCCAAAATCATCATTTTCTATGGGTTTCAGAAGTTACGTTAGGGATTTTCGGGGTGCAATTTTGGGGCTTCTCCGTCCTTCACTGCCATGGTGTTTTCCCATCCGGGGACCAGCAGCAGCAGCAGCAAAAGCCTCTGCAGCAGCACGAGGAAAGGGTAGCCAAAATTCATAGCAGCAGCAAGAGGAAAAAGTAGCTAAAATCATCATTTTCTATGGGTTTCAGAAGTTACGTTAGGCATTTTCGGGGTGCAATTTTGGGGCTTCTCCGTCCTTCACTGCCATGGTGTTTTCCCATCCGGGGACCAGCAGCAGCAGCAGCAGCAGCAAAAGCCTCTGCAGCAGCAGGAGGAAAAGGTAGCCAAAATTCATAGCAGGAACAAGAAGAAAAAAAGCCAAAATCATAATTTTCTATGGGTTTCAGAAGTTACGTTAGGCATTTTTGGGGTGCAATTTTGGGGCTTCTTCGTCCTTCACTGCTATAGGGTTTTTTTCCATCCGGGGGCTGTCTTTTGAACAGCAGCAGCAGCAGCAGCAGCAGGAGGAAATAGTAGCGAAAATCACATGCTTCTACTATACTCCGTTTGAACAGAAGGAGCAGCAGGAGCAGAAGCAGCAGCAGCAGAAGGAGGAAAAAGTGGCTCAAATCATCGTTTTCTATGGGTTTCAGAAGTTACGTTAGGCATTTTTGGGGTGCAATTTTGGGGCTTCTTCGTCCTTCACTGCTATAGGGTTTTTTTCCATCCGGGTGCTGTCTTTTTGAACAGCAGCAGCAGCAGCAGCAGGAGGAAATAGTAGCGAAAATCACATGCTTCTACTGTACTCCGTTTGAACAGAAGGAGCAGCAGGAGCAGAAGCAGCAGCAGCAGCAGGAGGAAAAAGTGGCTCAAATCAACATGAAGGAACCAGCGGTGCATGAAGTGTTTCAAGAATGTCTCAAGAAATACAGACAAACTGACATGCTGACACAACCTCGGTTGCTTGTTCCGGGGTCGGCGGCAGGGGCGGCAGCCCTTAGATATATATATATCTATCTTTCAGTACTGTTTATACTTGTCCATCCATGAAAAGTATTGTTATCTACAATAACCCGGAAAAAAGATGCAAAACAGGTGTGATTGATTTTTATCCAGTCTAGAAAGGGATGGTCGATTCAACCACCAAAATAAGGCACCAATGAGTCCAACGAGTCATGTCAACCAATAAAAGAAAGGCATTGAAGAAACCTGAAAGGCTGATAAGATGTCACACATATATACAAATTGGCCGCAAAAAAAAAACTGGCGAATTGAATCTTGCATCCAAAACATTGGCATCTAAATAGTGATTGCTCACCAAACTCTAATCTGACTTTGACATGTTGTCTTCACGAAAGTTTTAACCGGTTTCTAAGTGGCACATCCCAGTAGATCCAATATGAATCCAATCAAACAAGCAGGAATTGATGTTGTTTTAACGTATAAGTGACGGAAGAATGAATATAAATAAACTGACATTAAGATTCTATCTTGTATATACACATATAAAGAAACCATGATAGGCAGTTTCATACCGAGATATGACTGCTGTCAGCAGCAAGAATCAAGCTAATACAGGGCTCAACTGCCCAGTGCTCCCCAGTGTTGGTGATTTCTAGACTTGCCCACATCATCGCTGGTTCTATCGTCAGAAGCCCTGATGTCTGGTGATTTCTTGTATCATCTCAACCGGTGCTTTTTGGTAAAAATTGGGGGGTCGGTTTGGTATACCATCTATCATCATTTACCTGTTGTTAAAGGGGTTTCTTCAAACCCCTCTATTCATCAACCAACCAATGGGAAAAGGACATCTATGGTTGGTGCTTGGTAAGCCCCAAAAATAGAAGTTCGTCGCTTTTGGGATCATCATCAATCATCATCCCATTTCAAACGGAAAAGAAGAACATGTTCTTTCCAGCCGATAATGGTCTTTAAAAAGTTTTTTTCAAATGGACATCATCCCATTTCATGGAAAAATAGGGATACCCCCAGTCATCATCCATTTGAATCGGATTTTCATGGATTTTCCATGAAATAAACCAACCAGCGATAAAGGGGTAGCCCGGTAGCCCTATGGAAAACACCATTTCTCCCACGTCAGCACCGCCAGGGCACCATGGAGTCTCGATAACCTGGGCTGGCCCATTTTGGCAGCCAGCCGCCAGCCTGACCATGGACCCTAACGTTTCCCGGCCTGGTAAACATACATACATAGCTATTGAAAATGGCCATAGAAATAATGGATTTTCCCATTGAAAAATGGTGATTTTCCCATCAGTTACGTTACCACGTTTACTCTAGAGGGTACGGCTGCAAAACCAAGCCGCTCACCTAGGCTTTATGGTAGATATATGTAGATCTATGACTATAATGATGTAGTAACATGGGTTAATCAACGAAAACAACGACTCACGGGCCCAAAGATGAAGCTCCGGCAGATCACGAAATGACGCACCATGGCGCACCTCAAAGGAGTTCAGCCATCCCGCCACAAAGTTGGAGAGTTGCTTCGGATACGCGATGGACAACAAAGGATAGACCTGCCGCTGTTTCAACGGCTCTGTGATGATCTTTGCTGGTCTTTGATTTCGAGGAAAGTGGAGAATTGGATGATTTTGATTGATTAAATCCCTGAAAATAAGCGAAAAAACATGCACTGCCCCAAAAACACCGAAAAATTGATGGTGTCATATGGTTTTGCCATAGTAAATGACCAAAGACTATACGCTTCTGTGATGTACGCCCATACTTAAATTACCGGTAAGTTCTCTGCATTGGTCTAAAGTTTAAAGTCGGTGCAATTTGTAGCAATAACACATGTTGCACTCAATATCAGTATCTCAAGAACACCTCAGACATCTCAATTACTTTGGAAAAGTATTGCCTAATAACTTAACATAGCTTTGGAAAATGGCCGATGTATAGATAATTTACTATGCAAAATGGCAATTTTCATTGATTGTCCATAGCTAGATGTATGTTGAATTACCAGCTGCGCTGCGTTCAGGCCCAGTTGCAGTTCGGAAGGTGTCCCAAAAGCCATTGTCCTCGGCAAGCACTGGGACCCTGAACATCAAGATCAGAAAAATTCTCCATTGCTATCAGGCGGTTAGGAGATATCAGCTATAATATGATATTTCCCATGATTATATATCGGTTTGTATCATCCCCCAACTAATCATGAATCAACTGAGTATAGTTCCTTAGCTTTCCATGGCCAATAGAGAATATGGATATAATGATACATACAGTAGCTCCGAAAACGCTCCCCAACCACTGGATAGATTGTCAATGATGTTTTTTTGCACCATTTAGCTAGTCACTGAGAGTCCACATACGTCTGAAGAATTCAGGGTAGCATATACTTCCATGTACATTGCCATCATGAACAGTTTACTGCTAGCATCTCCCCGAAAAGAACATGCCAACTATCATGTGGTTGGCAAACTCAATTCGAGCTCATTGCATTTCATAGAGAAAATTAACGGCTCCCTCCATGTACTACCGGATACACTAGAACACAAATACGGATCCACAGTTCTACGGGTCATTGCTTCCATAGCTTTGGTAAATTACCAGATGTTAATCCAGAAATATGGTAGTAACTAGGGTTCATGCTATGTATATATATATACTATGTATGTATATATATATATATATCATACAATATTCTATACTGTAGTTACATGGGTTCATAAACCAACAAGCATCGGCCGGGAAACCGCCTTGTATGATTACTTTAAAGGTTGTTGTTAGTATGCTGATTGATGGTTTCAACCCATCTGAAAAAGATGTTTAAAATTTAACATGATAACACGAAAAACACCTTCCTGTAAACATAGATAAGAATTTGCGGAAATCCCACCATTTGTAGATTCCTACATCTTTTTGTATGTTTACAGGAGGGTAAGGTAAGGTAAGGTACAATCCCACATTATATCCTATTACATCTCATGATTACCCAATGATTTTTGCCATTATGTTCCATGTTATAGCTATTGATATCCCATGACTATTCACAATTTTGTTGGCAAAATACCCACTAATAACCATATTATTTTCCAATTAATTAAATAAGAAGGAAAATCACGTAAATTTCCATGAGTCATTGGATTGCTTTAAGGGCAATGTTGCAGGGGAAATGTTGCAGGAAACCATGGTAAATCCTGTAGATTTTTCCCTTGAACCAATCCAGTGAATTAGTCAATTTGGGTCATCATCTGTCAACTTTCCACTACTTAAGTCAGCATCAATTCCCATGAAATATATTCAAATATCAATTAAATCCCGTGAGATCCTATGAAATCCCATGTAATGCTACCTAAATCGCATGAAATCCCCATGAAATCACCCAAATGTCAACCGTCATGTTGGGTCATCGATTTCCGATTCCCCCAAGGCTCACTAACTCCGATGCCCGCCATCACTTGCCCGCTGTACGGGCTCCAGTGTCGTATGCCTTGGAAGGACTTGGAACTCTCAGTGACGGCCCAAGACGCGGTTCGAATTGCTTCCAAAAGGGTGAGGAAACAGTTGGAGAACACATCAACGTCGGTTTACTGAAGATAATTTCTGGTTGGTGGTATACCTACCCCTCTGAAAAATATGAGTTCGTCACTTGAGATGATGATTCCCAATATATGGAAAAATAAAATTCATGCTCCAAACCACCAACCAGGTGACAATTTGCAGGCTCTTTGGGGTTTGAGCCGCAGATTTGTTGGTTATAACTTATAACCCACGGCAACACTAATAAATTTGACCCATCTCGACTCTCCATATGAAGTAATATCCCTCGCTACGAATGGTCCCCCAACCCTGGCCCTTGGTTTGGGAGACACCGGCAGCCCCTCAAAAAACTGACGCCTGTAGGCGTCTCTTCATCCAAACGCCGCGGGAAAAGCAGGGCCCGGTAGAGTGAGGTGTAGAAGACTTCCAGGCGCCTCATTGAGCTCGGTCGGAGAGGCGAAGCTTCTGGGGTCTTGAACATTGTTGTATCCCATCTTTGGGTATGGAAAATCATGGAAAATCACCATCTATCTGTAATAGGTAATCAACAATAGTTTTGCCATGATGGGCCATGTTCAATAATTAGTCATGTTGATTGCCAGAGGGTACCTCAAGGTTAACAAGGCCAAGGTTAACCCATGTTCAAAGGATTCGTTGCAACTTTCACACCCCGTTGAAACCTTTCAACCCGCCTGAAGGTTGCAGCAGTAGCCGGCCCTGCGTCTAAAACCTGCGCGGGAATGAACAACTTGGGGGTTCCAATGGGCTTCAAACATGTGTCCTTCTAAAACCAATTGTATATACCTCTCCAGTAAACGAGCATATCTAGAGAAAAATGTACCATTTATAGATGTGTCACCTACAAAACAATGTGATGTTCATTGATTTTACCCTCTGGTTATTTAACATAGCCATGGAAAATCCACCCGTTTTTAATAGGTAAACCATCTATTTCGATTAGGGTCATCTATACCATGGCTATGTTAGTCATAACCAGAGGGTACTGTACATATTACCAAAAGCTATGGGATGATCTAAAACCCAAAAGAGGCCTGGTGCAGGCCAAATCCTGTTGTGTAAACCTCTGCAAGTCTCTAGGGTGGCAGGCACTTTTTCTTGGTGAAATCCCATGTTTTGTTCTGAAAATGTCCCATATTGAGTTGGTGAAATCTTCAACTGTTTCCCCAAAAACATCGAATAAGTTCTCCATGTTTGCAACTTCAGTCCAATTTTTGGTGAAATCTCTATTTTTCTTGGTTAAATTACCATGTCTGGAAATGACAATTTTTCTTCGTTAAACCCATCATTTTTTTGGCGAACTCCCCCCCAAACCACCGTTCACCGCAGCCGCGGCCTCCACTTTCCGCAGCAACTTTCGCCAGGCGTCTCGACCTTCACTAACCAGGTCGTCGAAGGTCTTGCCCTTCACCTGAGATTTAAGGAGTTGGATGATTACCTATCCCATAGGATCCATGGTGCTGCTATATATGGTAACATGGATCCCATCAATATACCCCCAATAAATGTTAGCATATATATACCAGCACCATGGATCCTATGGGTATGGGACCAATAATAATAGGGCAAGATAATTATATCCCATGGGACTAATGATAATAGGGACTAATGATATTCCTAGTCCCTAGTCGGGATAATCATATATTACCTATAGTTAATTTCCATGGGACTAATGATATTACCTATGGGACTAATAATAATAATGATAATAGGATATTTCCGTTAACAACCCATGATAATTAGTACAGTAATCAATTAATCTCTACTAATCTGGCTTACTAATCTAATTGAAATCTTTACTTATCTATATGTTATTATTCAAGATTACCAATCCCATTAGAGATAAATAGTCCATTACTATAATAATATGAACTGATAGATTTGGATATTGCCGATAATGAATTGGAGATTTGGATTATGAATCTCTATATTAATGGAAATGTCATGGGAATATAGTGGGATACTCATTAAATGGAATTACACCCCCAAAAATTATATGGAGGTTTCCTAAGTCATGGAGATACCCCAATTGCTGCATGGTTTAAAATGGAAAATCCGATTTTATTTCATGTATATAGTGTATAATAATATTATTAATATAACGTAAATAGTTTCATTGGATGTCATCAAAGTGTTCCTGCAAATTCTTTTGTTGGATCTTGTCTTTCTTGTATAAGACGATTACTGTCAATTATTATTATTGTCTTATTTTTCCTAATTAATGTTTTACTTGTTTTCTGCACAATAGTTGCAGCACAGCGCCAAGAAATCACAAAAGCCAAGAATATCCAAGAATCCAAAAGCTACAACAGCCTCGAAAGCCACGAAGCCAGGCTGGAAAACAAATAACAAAGAACAAATACCCCTTAGTTTGTAAACTCCATTGAGTATGTATTAAGAATGTATTAAGTATGTATAATATAATGACATGACAAATCTACCATAAACCCATATGAACCCTAGTTAACCATGTTTAATCTAGTGAACTAAACCAGCATAGCCAAGGTTTCTGGGGGCTCGTGAACGTTCCGGCGGGACCTTGGTATTCAAAAGTTTCCCTAGGGTACCCCAATAGCTGCATGGGTTTTTTCGTATCGAAAATCATTAAAAATCAAAAAAAATGATGTTTTTGGGACCTCTAGGATTTAGGAAACCTCCATATATTGTCACCATAGTAACCTAGTAGTTCTAGGATTTATATCACCTTCTGCTGGCTGGAAGGCAGGATGTGGTGAAAGCCTTTCCCCGTTCTGCCTGGTCAAATCTCAATCTCCATTCTTCTCCATTTTCGCTATACAATTGCAGTAAATCCCCATGTTCAGACGTGGTTCTTGAAACCCTACCCTCCCGTAATCAAACATGGCAATGAAAATTCCCCATTGATACATGATTTTCCATACATCCTAGCTTGCCATCATTGATTTTCCGAAAAAGCAATTAATAACCCAGAACAATCCAAATATATCCCCGTTATATAATACCCAAACATTTCCGTTGCCATACCACCATTTTCGGTGGTGAAACCTCCCTGACGGATATCCCAAGCCCACCAGTTGAACATCTCCGAAACCACCGGCGAACCTCCGCATCCACGGCCCTTAAGGCTTGAGCGGCTGAGATGAAGCCTCCGCAATTCAGTTCGGGGCTTCCCAATGACTTCGACTTCACAACCTTCGGGTTCCTGGTGGTGATTTTGGTCACATCCCGGAAAATGTCTTCAATTCAGGATATATACCAAGTGTCTATGGAGAGCTACGATGATTATGACTTGATGCCTGACCTTCATGCGATGTTTGATTGTTTCATTCGTCAGCCATAGGGTATCCATTGTCGTGATCCCCGAAGAAGAAACAGAAAAAATGCTGCCACGATAGCTTTTATCAAGACTTGTTGTGCGGGCATCTGGGCTTACATCCTCACCAGCAAGAACATATCTGGATCATTCTGGATCAATATAATTCCTAAAGACTATTTAGTTTAATGTCCCTGTTGAGTTTGATGAGCCATCATGAACGTTTTCCCTTGAACCAACCCAGTGAACCGCTACTATCAACGGATTTGTTTTTCATTTCGGGAACACAGATGGTTAGAAAATGTGGTAAATATCAGACATCCTCATGGTTAACGGTTAAACCATATTGAACCTCCCCAACCCGTTTTAATTCAGGTTTCAACCATGAATTTTCACTTCACCGAAGCAGCTGGTGCCAATGTGGATCTCAAGCTCCTGCACGAGGTTTCTCGGGATTTTTCAGCTTGCCATCTGGAGGTTGTAACCCATAGGATCCATGGTGCTGCTATATATATGATAACATGGATCCCATCAATATACCCCCAATAAATGTTAGCATATACATACCAGCACCATGGATCCGTCATTGGTAATTTAAGAGTTTGCCATTGAACATTACCATAGAAATAGTTAATTTACCCATGAAAAATGGTGATGTTCCATAGCTATGTTAGTTTACCAGAGGGTACCAAATGTGGTCTCAAAACTACAGTACGAAAAAGTCTCGAAACATCGTTTCTTCTCACTGACAAGTGCAAATCCTGTGCTCAAGACCTGCCAGAGGAATCTTTGTGCCACGCTTAGCAGCTACCAAAGTTCATTTGTGCTGGGATATTGTGATGAGATCACCCTCTTGCTTGCTTCACTGATGCATCCAAGTCAGGATTTGTGGTTGACAGCCCTCAACATGGATGACTATCAATACTAATTAACAATGATACAGGTTGATAATGGTAGTGGTACCTGCACAATGAACATAAATAGAAGCTATGATTTAAAAAAATGTACAGTAACAATAAGTGATAATATGACCATATATGATAATATGTGATTCTACGTTATAAAATGTAGCAATAGCAATTCATAAGAAGAACCAATACATGTGGGGTGTCATTTTTGGCAATACCATGGACACTATATGGCTCTGCATCACTAACAATATTGCTATCAATATGCCTGGCAGTACTGGTGTCACCAATATAATACACTAATGTATTACCAATGTATTACTATATCAAATATTAGCATGAAAAATATTCCTACATCAACTATTTTACTCAGATCTTACTAATATATCATTCATCTAAGTCTATTAAATTCTATCACCATATTACTAGTATATTAGTCATATTCCTTTCCAGCTCCCAACCCGGTCCCACCCTTTCGTCCCGCGAAAGCGCGCTCCTGCTGTTCTGCCACGAAGCAGCAATGCCGCGGCACGGTCTCCTGGTCAAAAATCCATGGTCGTCCCAGGAGATTTTCAAAATGGTCACGTGACCAATGGAAAATGTCACAAAGACTTTTAGCAAATCCAGGTTTTTGTCCAACAAAAGGAGATTTGCAAACCATTTCTGGTGGTTTAATGCAATTAAACGAGATAATTCATGGGATGCAACGAACTAAGTTTATATGATATGTGGGTTTGTCTGTGGATGTAATCCCAATTTGTGGCCCGTGGAACATGCTGATTTTTTTTGCTCAATGATTGACCATCAAATTTTGGGGTAATGTCATGAAGCTGGAACCGCAGCTTACTCAATTTTGGATGATGGTTTTCCGGATGCGAATGGAGCTACCTAACTTAGAGAATGTTCCGAAAGGGGTAACACGTGAATACTGTCAGCATCAGTCGAATATCTTGTTGACATTCTTTTTTGTGGGATTTTCCAGTCATTTAAAGTCCCATTCTCCAAAACTTTTGGGACCTGCTGGTGATGCCGGCCTTACAGTTTGGAGGTCCACTCGTCAGCCCAGGCTGCTTCTTCTTTTTGGCCCTCTCATCCTGCCGGCTCGGCAAAGGTCAGACCCCAATGGAAAAAGTGTGGGGTAAAACCCATAGGATCCATGGTGCTGGTATATATGCTAATATATGACTGGGGTATATTGATGGGATCCATGTTACCATATATATATATATATAGCATACATGGATCCTATGGGAAATGATAGCTTGAAAACGGTTGAACACGCTTGAAACGAAAAAGGTTCCGCTCTGAGAATCGATGTGAAATCAGCTATCCCTGCAAGGTCTCAAGTGCTGCTCGCTTTGGCAGCCCACAAGTGCTGCTTGCTTTGCCATTTTTACCCGATTGCATCTATATTTGCAAATCTGTATATATATATATACACGAATAATCATAACTATACAAACATTGCGTAGTATTGCATACAAGTATTTGGAATAAGGAGCCACTACAACATAATACAACATGCTACTGAATTCTGCAGGTCGCAGGCTTGGATCGTGAAAAAACTGTCCCAATTTTTTGATGTTATGTCCACATGGCAGTGTGTCAAAACCAATAGTACCCCTGTAGTTCACATCAAAATAGCTGGTAAATGATGTTCATCCCACTAAAAATGGTATTAATAGGTATTGATCCATAGCCACATAAAACTAATGTTTTGAGTTGGTTTTTAGACGCCATGAACTGTAGAAAAAACTCATCATATTCGCCATTGAACCACGATTATTGGGGGTATATGGTTTTATATCTATTGTATATTATATCCCTAATTATATATACAGTATATGGGATATCCAGTTATACCCAACAAAAAACTTTAAGTGGATATAAGTGGGATATTCAACATATAAGTGCCACCTCCCGTGTTTATACTCATTTTGATTCATTTGTCAACACATTCATAATGGGATATCCCAGTTATCCCAGTTATACCCAGTTTTAGAACAACATTGACCCAGTATCAACACATATATATATGGGATATCCGGTTATACCGATCATATCCCATGTTTCTCATTAAACCACGATGATTGGGTGTATATGGTGATATATATATATATTATTTCATGTTATTTTATTGTATTATATTAGATTATATATAATTTATATGATCCCCCGTTATTGATACCCAGTATGTTTTGCAGAGCATTTTGTATACTTTCCAGACTACAAAATGCTCTGCAAAACATAAATTGCTGAAATAACCTCCAGTTATACCCTCTGGTAATTTAACATAGCTATGGAAAATCACCATTTTTAATGGGAAAATCCACTATAAATGGTGATTTTCCATAGTTTTTTGTATGTCCACCAGAGGGTATCCATTCTAAATACTCAATGGGTGCCACTGTGCTCGAAGTTCCCACCTGGAGATGGCATCCACCATCGCTCCACCAGGTGAAGTGCGCGCAGTTGGCGGTCCTTGGGAGGGGCCCCGGGGGTCCTTGGGGCCGGGTCTCCGAACGGAGATGATTTCCATGGGAAAATCTGACCCGGAAACCATTGTTTTTTTCCACGCAAAAATGGTGATTTCATGGTGACCCCATGGATCATTGACTAAGTAAGTGATTTGGGAGTTAATGGGAGACTTAGTGGGGTTCGATGGGATACTTCATGATTTAAGTGAACATCTTATCACCGGAAACCATGGTTTTTCCCGCCAAACATGAGGCCAATCCTGGTGTCAAACCAATCACCGAAACCAATCCCATGACCCGTTGTTCAACGGTAGAAACTATGTGGATATGACTCTGGATAAATCTAGATACCCTCTGGTAAACATACAAAAAACTATGGAAAATCACCATTTTTAATGGGTAATTCAACTATTTCCATGGCCATTTTCAATAGCTATGTTAGTTTACTAGAGGGTAATATGGGATCATGGGATACCCTCTGGCTGAATTTCTGGCTGAATTTACGCATTTGGGGATGGCTCCCGGAATCCGTTTATTCATCCAGATTCATGGAATATTGGTGGAATATGAACAGGAGTATAATGTAATACAATAATGTGATATAATATAATATAATATAGTATAGTATAATATAATGTAGTATTTTTTAAAAAACAAAAACGTGTATATAATATAATATAATGGGAACCCCCTACTTTCATAGCTTTAGACTGTTGGGACATGGTATGATAAGTCTTTGTTGGATTTTCAGGGTGGTCATACCCACTTTCTGGTAGTCCCACATTGCTATGGTATAGATGGCCAATTTAGTTTGATGATTCACCTTTCAACAATGATGTTCCATAGCTATGTTAAATCACCATAGGTGGCTTAAATTATCAGGACTCAGGACTGAATGAAATATGACGTGATGAAACTTATGAACTCAGGACTCAAATCGTTGGGTGTGTTGAATATTACTATATCATCGGCTTGAAAAGTGGTGGCTTAATCAAGAAAGTCGGGACGACCTACCCCAAGAAAATGGTTGATGGTGATTTAACCAACAAATTTGGTGATCACCAACAATTATTTTCCGTAGAGATGTTGTACATGGGGGATTCAGCCAACAACGCTCGGACGCTTTTTAGCCGCTGGTTGCTTGAACATTCAGCTGTGAAAGATATGCTTGGCAGTGGGGATCGCCATCCCATTTCTAGGCTATGTACATATATATATATATATCATATATATACATATATAATGTTATATTATATATATGATATATATATATATATCTACATATATATATATCATATATATATATATGTATCATGTACATATATATACATATCATAATATATCATATATATTATATTTATATATATGTACATATACATAATATATATATATATTATGTATATATATACATATATTCTGTATATTTCCATATATATATATGATATATATATATCATATATATATATACATATATTATATTATGTATAATGTCATCTAGATAAATGATCCTAAATCCCATCCCTCAGTTATATTGAATTCACATGGCTCCCCAAACTGAACACATCCAGTACTAAAGCCGGTGTTAAAAATGGGCTATTTCGCATTGGGAGGAAGGACTTGATTCAGGCTAATCGTTAGATGGCTATGGACCTATGGATCAATATCTGTGGATAATCCATTTTGGGGGTCACCTGGGCTACAGGGTTTTGACTCATAGCCATATATCATATTTTGGGATTTACAGTAACGTGATTTAACCCTCGAACATAGCGGGGTTAATATAGTTCCACTTAAGCTCTGGTGGTCAATGAATTATAATTGGGATTAACGCTCAAAAATGATGGTAGTAGCTGGTGGTTGACAGACAACAACAATCCTTTTGAGGGGTTGGGGACTTGCTAAGCGGGATATTCAGGCTTATGAACATGATTAAGCATAGGACATTTTCCTATTGGCCCAGTACCTGGCTTTTGAAACCAATATTGGTGCTTTGGGTATATCAGTTAATAATATGTATAACCCATGATATAACCCATTCATTTCATTTAGATAACGATCATCCATTTCTTGTGCCCACACTGGGCGACCCATGGACCATCATGCACCATACTTGGTAGATCCGAGGATCTGCTTGCAACGTCTATGACACTCTTCCATGCTGTTCAGAGCAATCCGTTCTTTTCCTGCCGCAAACAGCCGCGGGTCATGAACATGAAGGTTCAAAGGTCGGGGGTCAGTCTGACGGGAAATCTGCTGGGAAATCTGGTGCACTATGTGAATTGCTGGATGTTCATCATCCCTGAAAAAAGATACCCTCTGGTAAACATACAAAAAGCTATTGAAAATGGCCATTTATAGTGAATTTTCCCATGAAAAATGGTGATTTTCCATAGTTTTTAAATCATGTCCCTCTCTCCACAACTAGATATATGGGGCCCCATATCCCAACAATAATTGTCATTATGTATGATAGTCATATTATTATTATTGGTTTTATTATAACTATAACTATCATGATCCCAACAAAAACTATAGTTATCCCGATAATACCCAACTACTGTATAACTAACTACCAATGATATAACTATCATTATATCATAGTTATCCCAACAACAACTGGGTATAACGATCAAGGTGTTAGTCCTGTAGGCCCATACCCCTGTCCGTGACCGTGTAGCCTGGCATGTTCATGGGCTCATAACCTCGTCAAACGGCGCCGTCGGACCAAGCCATGTTAAGGGGACACGTGGGAAGGGAGTTCCGTCACACGTTTGGTTAAACGTTGTAGTAAATACGGTGAAAAAAAAAACGCCGCTACAAAAAAACAAAAAAAACGAATTCAATGAAATGGTGAAGCCTCCTTGTAGCTGGCAATTTGCCGTTCATGATATCTAGTTAAGTTGAAAAAATAGCTGTTAACAGCAAAGTATCTTGTGACTGATCTTTGATGATCTTTGGTCGGGTCCCGTTGCTGGAAAGTGTACCACATAAATAGAGCACCTTTCTTACATGGTCATCAGGCGGCTCAGAGCACACTTTAATGATAAGGCTCATCGAGGTTGTATTTTAATTAATTTGCTTGTACATAAGATCGGTGTACGTACAGCATATATTCGCACATTTATAGAAGATGGTATGTTGCGGTTCCTATAGGCATTTGTACTTATGATTTATATGCAATAGCATATGTAATTATGTATGTGTTGTCATCTTCCAATACACATGCCAAGTTCATTGCTTGAAAAAGGTTTCACGACGATGGCGACTGCCATGACAGGTGTTGATCCATCCCCACTTATCAAGACCACGAGTTTCGATGTATCTACCATGAACCCAACAGCTTTTTCGGAGTCCAACCAACTTAGCGAACTGGGGCACCACCCAAACATATTGTTGATCTGGAATATCCTGTTATGATATTTTACGGGACACAATATAGTGGGGATAATCATGGGGTGGCAGAATAGAGTCTTGGACAAACTTGAAAAAATAAATCCAAGAGAGTGTTTCTACACATCTCAGGTTTTTTTCCTCATCCCGTGTGAAAAATATTCATTAGAACCATAAGTTAATCACCATGTTTCGGGTCGTCACCCAAAACATGATGTTCAAACCTAGTCTAAGAATTAACCACCATTCTAATCACCGTGTTTTTTCCTGAACTAAACATGGTCAAACCCCGAACTGCCCGGGCACCAAAGTCATGTTCGAAGCAATCGGACAACGCGATTTCCTCGATCCTGGCTTGGCCTGACGCACAGATCGAGTGGCCACTCCCTATACCCAGGAACGCTATATTTCCATGTATATATAATATATATATACATATATGAATATACATGTATACACATTATACAAACATGTGTGTATGCAGTACATGTGTATGTATATATATATATATACACACACGTATATTTGATATGTTTGTGACATACTTAAACATATATATATATATATAGTAAATAAATATGTGTATTTATATTTCTCTAACTATCACACATACATTTTCATACATACATTAGTAGGTCTTCCCCACAATCAAATGATCTATTGAAATGCATTGAAATGGGATGAAATGGGGATATCCCAGCAAACCAGATTCATTTACCATAGGGTACCCACAAGCACGTCAGGTATTGTCAACCCCGGATCAATTTTCCCCACTATTGAATGGCCATTGAAAAATGGGTGAGAAACATGGTGATTTAACCAGCAACCATGAGGATTATATTGGATACAATTTAATGGGATTTATCCATGAAAAATTGTTTAAGCAACCCCACTAGACTCCCATTAAACCACCATGTTTCATGGTTAAACCGTTCAACCACAATATTTTCCACCATTTTGGTCGCCTAAAATCCCATTTTCCATGCCAAATTCACCCCAAATTCCCATGAAATCCCCATTTCCTGATGGTTAAAACTCCATGAAACCACCATGAAACCACTGGTGACCGTCCGCCGGAGGCGCCTCGCACTTCCAGGCGCACGAAGAAGTCCAGGCCGCTGGAGGGGGCGCCGTCAACAAAGCGCTTGCCTGGGGTGAGTGGCTATGAAAATATCATATGGACATTTATGATGTATATATATATATACATACAGATATAATATATATATATATATGTAACATACAACATACCTATATATATAATATTATATATATATTGCCCGACTTAATAATACATAATACATATGTGCATACATGTATACATATAAACATGCAGATGGATATACATATGTATATATAAGACACCTACTGACAGTTACGGACTTATATACAATATGTGTATATATAGATACATTGCCCTCAAACATCGCCAAACACACTGGGTGACTTGGCCCTATGGTACGCAACTAGAATTGTCCTTGAACAATAAAGGGAATTTCACAACCAATCATAGTCAGGGGTATAGTGCTTGCACTCTGCGGCTGTCCCTGAGCTTGCAATGTTGTAGGCAAAGCATAGCAAATGGCAACGCGTGTCTCCGATAGTCACCTAAAATAAAAACCTTGAAGCACCAGAACCACAAGAAAATCATGATCAAAAGGATATAATAAACATAATATTAATATAACTTACAGCATTTCAATAAGATTATCATTTCATCTTACACCATTCTCTCTTTGTGGTTCCCATGTTCACTTCAGGAATGTTCCATGGTGGTTGGAATCGGGATTTCATGGCTAGCCGGCTAGATACCCCACACTATATTGATGTACCCTCCTGTAAACTAACATAGATGTGGGAAACCCACCATTCGCAGATTATTTTCTAGCGAAACTATGGGTTTTCCACCATCTATGCAAACGTTTACTGTAGGATATATTCTACATAGGAAGGCAAAGAGGGAAAAAAAAACATCACTTACCCTTCACCAACAATCATTCATGAAAGTCTCAGGCTACCCCACTTGCAAAGGTAAACCTCTCAGTCCGAATAGGGCATGGAAAATCACTCCGACCAGATCAACAGGCTGTTAGTGGTGCCCAACCCCTCAATGATTTTTCGGCTTTATTTCTTCGGACCGATGGGCGCAGCCACGCCAGGATTTGAAGTACCTACAACTGGAAGTTGCTCTAAGCTATGGTAGTTTACCTACCCTCTGGTAAACTAACAGTTTGCTATTGAAAATGGCTATTTATAGTGAAATGTCCCATTAATAGTATGGTGATTTTCCATAAGTTTACCAGAGGGTAACCTAGTTTCATTGGGATAAAAAATCCCATCCCCCTAATATTAAACACGCCCCATATGGGCCGCAAAATGCAGGGATCCAGTACTTTTTCATACCGGTTTCTGGGGAGTATTTAATGGAGAATGGGATTACCAGCATTATGTCAATGATACTCCCATCAAATAAATAAATCATATCCCTCATGAAACTATATTCCCATTATTGATGCTTAATACCCCATGAACATCCCATTGATTCAGGCTACAACTAGGGCATCCCACTACGCATCAACGCATCAAGCTGCTGATCAAATCAATTCCTCCTGCGGACTGACGACCTTGGAGTCAACGGCACCGAAAACAAAAAAAACGGGCAGTTTTACATGATCAACATGTGGTCGTGTGTGAAAATGGAGTTTTACATGATCCCAATGGCCAATTTCATAAGAAAAAAATATGATCATGTGGAATCTCAGGTAGCCTATTTTTAGACAAAGGTCTAACGCTGTGGATCCACCTCCACAGCTTCCATTTTTGTATTGACAGCTCGATCATTGGGGATGGCAACCCGACAACATATGTGTGGATAAACCCACAAATAATGAGCAATATGATCAAGAACGAACATATTTGATATGATACAATGGGGACTTAACTATAAAAAGAATGTGGATTCTTGGTCGTGCCAAAATATTGGCCAAAAAATTACCACTTTGTATGTTTGCCAGGACCAACCAACCAATAGTCGCGGTAAAGTACCACCCATGTTTGGAGGCGCACGCACAATTTGAAGAGCAAATGAACCAGCAATGTTCTTTCTAGTTAGCAGGTAGCAAACATGTCCAGCAAAAAGAATGGATATTGTTTCACCAGAAAACAGGTACGATGCCGTTATACACAGATATATTTATTATATATATGGTTCTATGTCTATATAGATGGTTCACCAGATTTTTCAACCCGTCATCGAACGATACCCCTCCTTTTGTATGTCCTCCTGATGGGGAAGCCTGATTGCCTACCTTCTCTTTGGACAAAGCCATTAAACACCTATGTTTGCTTTCTGCAGGGTACACAACCATACACAACCAACATTCTTTGGAGCTACATCCAAAAGGTATGATTTCTTTATTTCATCAACATGCCGGTTGGGTTCAAAACCCTACTACCTTGGACATGTAGAAACGCCTGATCAAATGACAAGTTATACCCTTTTCCTTGGGCGAAGTTCTGAAAATCCCCGTTTTTATATGGCTGAAATCAATCCAATCACCGATCAGGATCAAGTTGCAAGATCCGCTAGTGGTTTTCAAGCTGGCAGCACTTTTCTCGTCCTGCATCCACTATAACTTTCAACATGCGTTAGGTACCGTTAGGTATCGTTTGCTTGAGTCTTTCAGCTACTCGGGTATAAGTAAAATCAAATAAAGGATTGTAAAATGATGTAAAATGCTGTTGATCAAAGATGGCAACTGGGAACATATCACAGCGCCGAGTTTACATGGGATCAATGGGGTTGTGGGGGTTTCCTAAGTCATGGAGGTACCCCAATAGCCGGGTCTAAAATGGATCAAAAATCTCGAGCGACCAAGAACTGGGCAGTGGGCACCCAAGCTTGTGGCCAACCAGCTTATCGCGTATGTTCGTTGTTGATGTCCCTTTTATCCTAATTAAATCACCATGAAATCACCATGAAATCATGTTCGTTCTTTACATCCCCTTTCAATTATACACGGAAAATCAACAGAATATATCCCATTCCTTCTCTCTGATCCCAATTTGGTCGATCATCCCGGTTTGGTGAGATTTCCAGTTCCCACTTTACCCTGTGGTAATCAAACTTGGCTGGAAATCCCCGAAGCCATAGAGGTTCATAGGAGTTTCTGGCTGGGAAAACATCCATAGATGGAGGATTTTCCAGTAAGCCATGTTTGATTACCCGATGGTATATCCCATGATTATCCTAGCATGTTATTATCCCATGATTATCATTATGTCCCCATGAAATCCCATCAAATGATGGTTAAATAGTTTTCCCATTGTAGTAGTAAGATTTGTTTCACATGTTTCTGCATAGCAGTAAAACCCTGCTCGTAAGACCATCTTGTACAAGGATTCTCTCTCAGCTTATGACCATACCATGAGGGGGCATATAGGATACCCCAAAGATCGCTTAGTGAATTTGTCAGGGAAATGACCCGGCTCTCTGTCTACAATCTGTGTGGGGAAAAAAACATCTTTTCGTAATGCACGAAAATTCCAGGATTTGGGGTCGTACGAACATGTGCTAACCCCCCCCCAAAAAAAAAATATATAAACCTCATCTCCATGAAATTTGCTACACATTAGGAGTAAAAATTGCCACCATTTCTCTATGGCGTTGCGCCTTATCAGCAGGTGCTCCACTTGGGACCTGTGCGCAGATCCTGAAGATGTGGATCAGAGTGGAGGTACCCATAGTTCCTCTATAAATATGGGACATGATGGTAAAATATGGTAAAATGATCGATAAATGGAGCTTAGTAGCTGGAAACATTCCCTATAAATGAAAGTTTAAATTCCATAGATGACGGTGTTAATGGCAAAATCATCTATAAATGGGGAATGTGCCATTGCTATGTTTGATTACTGCATGCAAAAAATCTGGTTGGTTAGCAAATATCCCCATTTATGGCAAATATCCCCATTTATGGCATTCATAGTGGCGGACGTGTCAGCGTCTCGAGGGTAGATTCCCCATTTATGGCAAAACCAATGTATATGCTGTATATATATAATCGTAAACATATTTAAAGTTCTAACATCATCAATTGTTTTCGGACAAAATTCGGAAGTACTCAACTACCCATCCAAGGTTTTCCACAACTGCTCTGGGGAGGGGGCGACCCCCTGGGAAAAAAGTTGGTTTGTAGATATCTATATATATATATACTATAGATAAATATATTTAGTTGTAGAGTATTAGTTTCTAGTTAGTGTATATTGTATATTATATAGATATATCGACATATGTAGCTATAAACCCATCTAGATATATGTTACATATAATATATATATATACATAATTAAATATATTGCGAGTATGATGTGTACATATATATATATATACAGACCCAACAGCTAAGCTACTTATCTACCCACATGTCGCTAAGTGATCAAGCTTTGAGGATGTTCGACCGTTGGATCGTTGCGGTCGAAGGGAAAAATTTTATATTCCCAAGAAATGGCAGAAATCTAACAACTATTAACAAGTTAATACAAGTTATATTTCTATATATGTCGCATAAACAAGACATAAACTGCCTGAAAAAGGCAGTATTTGAATTCTGTCGAACCAAGCCCAAAACCTTGGATCATGGTGTTCGAGGTGCCTGGCATAGGCACACCATAGTGGCTTACCAAAAATTCAATGGCCATTTCAATGGGCTGTGTAAGGGAAAATATGGGAAAATAAACCACAAGATATGCGTCACCAGTACCTCTAGGGTCTTGAAATTTCACCAATGGTCACCAAAGAAAATCTCAAGAATAGATAAGAATAGTACCAATATAATAGTAACACTCAGTTTGTAACTGGTCGGTTTATATCATTATTCTCCAATAATAGAGTCACTACCCTCAAATCATAGAAAAATCATAGTGATATAAACTATATTATACACTATCATAAACTATCACTATCATATTCGATCATCACCTTATTACTTATGAATTTTACCCTCTGGTAATTTAACATAGCTATGGAAAGATCCACCATTTTGAATAGGAAAATCCACTATTTCTATGGCCATTTTCAATAGCAAACTGTTAGTTTACCAGAGGGTATATCCCATTATCATCCCATTATTCACCATTGTTAACCATTAAATCACCATTTTCCTAGGGTAATATGGGCTATGTTAGTTTACTAGAGGGTAAACCTCCATGTTCCTATGGTTTTCCTATGGTTTTCCCATTAAAACCATGAATTTCAAATAGACCAGGGGGGTTAGCCATTGATTTTCCTTGGTGACACCCGTCCACTGAAGCTAGGCACCTCCGCTCCCCGGAACCTCCGACGCTGCGGAGCGTCGGAAGCGCTGCTCGGTCGGTCGGTTTAGTTCGATAGGTGAACTGTTGGGTTTATGGTATGTATATGTAATGCATATGTGAATATATATATAATATTATATAATGCATCTATCTATAAATATATATATATATATTATATAATGTGTATATAGTGTGTATATATATATATACTGTATGTGTATATATATATATATATTGTATATATATATATATATTATAGTGTGTATATATATATAACGTGTATGTATATATAATGTATGCATGCATCGAACGAGCACTCATAGGGTGAAACTAAACAAACTTTCAACTGCGGGGCACCTTGTACAGACATTGTGGCCAGGGATGGATAGCTATATAGTAAATACCAATTTTGGGGAATGGATGAACATCCATAAATCCCAGTTAACTTTTAATGTTCACCAGCTATGTCATGATGATCATGAAATCTTCCCGCATTATCCCCATTTACCAACCATCTATCTGGCTAAATTACAATCTGGTTGGTGGTTGACCTACCCCTCTGAAAAATATGAAAGTCAGATTGGATCATCATCCCAACTATTGGGGAAAATAAAAAATGTTCCAAACCACCAACCAGAATAATTCTCTAGCCTCGAAATATCTGAAGTACAACAATTTAGGGATGATTCCATGAATCCAAACACCATCATTCCAGTGACGGAAAACGAGTCGTGAGGTCGTGATTGGATGTCATCCAGATCTAAGTCTAGGTACTTCCAGAATTCCAGAACTGGAGCTTTCCTAAGTTCCGAAGTCATGGGGCTACCCCCAATCATCCGAGTTGGATTTTCCATGGGATTTTCCATAACCCAACCAGCTCTTTGGGATTCCCAGGTGCCCATAGGTACCCTGCTACGCTGAGAGCTACGCTGAGGGGCTGGGGAAGAGCACCGACACCATGGCTCCATGGTTGGTCGGAGTCATCTTCATCTGGTGCCTGGTCGACGGTCGACATCTGGTTGCTCGAGATCTCCCAAGATTGGATGGTTCGATGGTGATTTAACCAACGACTATGGTGATTTAACCAACATAGCTATTGAAAATGGCCATTTATAGTGGATTTACCCATTAAAAATGATGATTTTCCATAGCTATGTTAGTTTACCAGAGGGTATGGTGATTTAACCAACAACAATGGGGATTGAACCACCGAGAATGATGGTTCTTGGCATGGTATATATATAACGGGAATACATGGGCCTCTGGTAATCAAACATGGCCTTCATGGGCAATTCCCCGAACTGTAGGTTTCGCTGGGAAAATCAGCCAAGCATTGCGCGGGGATTAAACCCAGCCTGCGCCATGTTTGCCAATGTTTGCTTACTGGAGGGTAGCTATGAAAACAAGGACCGTCATTGTGCATCTCTTGATGGACCAGCTGGGGTGGGATCATCATCCCATGATGGTGGAAGCACGTAAAGGTATGTAAAGTCATAAAACATATACTCAGAACATATATGCCTATGCAAGACATATATTCAAAAAACCATTCAAAACCACCCAAAACTCCATTTAAAACCACCCAAAACTCCATTTCAGCAATCGGTCACTCGGACTTTTGAGATGGCCAAGACATGCCAAGACTCTCTGACCAGAATCCCAAATCGGCGTCCGAACATTTCTGGACCCACTCCATCCAAGCCACCCAAAGGGCCCTAAGTGCAGATCTAGCAAAAACCTCGGAGTTCCAGCAATGCTCTTTGGGTTGACAGAAAAAGCTAAGCGATACATCTGACCAAAAACTTTACCGCCAAGAATGGCTGGAACATGTTGGAACCTTTCTCACGTTGGAACATGGATTGTCTCAGTTGGATTGCACCAAAATTACAGGGACCCCCCTCCACAAGTTCCTGCAAGAGTCTCCTGCAACCCCGCTCCATGCAAGTAATCCTCTTCGACACATATAAAACCACACTGAAAGTGCACATCGTGTTGGGAAGATCCGCATAGGCAAATATCTATATAACACTAACACAATATCTATATATATATACACATACATACATACATATATATATATATAATATCTAGATTTTAAGTTGACAAATTGTTGACTGTCACTGGATTCGAGCTGCGTGGGCAACAAGCGTTAGTCTTTCTGCCCCTTGATCAGCCCGGCATGGCACTTGCGCCATAGGACCAGGTCGGAGTTGGCTATCCCAAACATCCCATTGAGGTTCCAGATCCAGAATCCATCATCTTCCGAGCCCATTGGCCCAAGTCCCCCAAAGGGGGAGTTCCGAGACATAGATGTTTTGTCTGTGAAATGCCCAAGATTGTTGGTAAACCTGTCATCAGGATTGCTCACAACACCCCAGACACTGGGGTAAATTGGCAAATAAAGATGCAAAATAACAAAAAAACATCCAAAAAGTGGCAACTTCATATGTCCAGGTTTCGCACTTGTCAGCATCCTTTTTTGGGTTGCTGTTTATTATGCCCAAAATTATTCCACAAAGCCCTTCCCAGTATCATTTAAAAGTCTAGAGCATCTAATGCTTAATGATACCCATATCTTTATAGCATTGAATGTCAATATCATCGAATTGTTCGATAAAACAGTTACACTTTTTGATTCTAGATATTCTTGAGGGGGGGTAGAAAGTACACCCACCCAATGTATTATTAGGCGTACGTGGTTTTTCACAATAACACTGACACTATATATTGCCATACAGTAAGGTACACATGGCTTTGTCTGAACATGGAGTCTCCCAAAATCGATCGGTTTCTTCTTCATTATGTGACCCATTTTAATGATCATAAATTGGTGGTTACTTCATGTTCAGACACACCGAACTATCATATAACAAGTTGGTTATTCATATATTCCACAAAATATCCCACTACATCCTCATTATATATATATAATCATATATATATAATCATATATATATAATCATGTATATATATACATACATATATATATAATCATACATATATATGTAATCATACATATATATGTAATCATATATATATAATCATATATATAATCATATATATAATCATATATATATAGATACCCTCATGATACCCCGATGATACCTCCATGATACCCCCATGATATCCCATGAAAATTATTCTTTTGGACGGTGAAACCCCATGGTTCCACCATTTCTTCCTGTTTCGACGCCAAGGCGCGGTCTCAAAGCGCCTTCCGCGCGGTAGGACGTGAAGGCCATGCGTTTGTTTGCCTTGAAGCCAGTCTCAAGCACCAGCAGGAACCACCTGGGCATGGCGAACACCTGGAAACATGGGAGATTTCACCAATTCTTTGCTGATGTTTCATGGGTCATGGGAACCATGTGGTGACATGTTTCTCGCTGAACCTGGTGACATGGGAACCTCGCTGTGGATCAAAACCAGCGGCGGTTTTATACCCTGTAGGCCCTGTTTCAATTGCCATTTATGGATGTTCATCCCTTCCAAAAAGACGGGATATATGTGTGGGTAAACCAATAAAAACAACCATTTTGGGGTATACACTATTTCTGGGCAAAGCCTCTTTAGGATGGCAATCCTTACCAACCGACCAACCAACCAACCGCTGCATACGGACAGCAAACGTCAGTGGGTCGCTTCCCCATGCAGGCAATAGTTACCTCAATTGTTATCATAATGTTTGCTGGTTAAATCCGACTTCTTGGTTCGTTGAATCCAATGTTTTGTTGGTTAGATCCAAGCGTCGCATAGTCTCCGATCCATGGGCTCGGCTGATGCGTACATCGCAGGCCGTAGAAGGTATCGCTGTTGGCGTCGAACCTGGCGAAAACCCGGTGGAATCCAATGAGTAATATTAATGAATATGTTCTATATACATATATATATATGGATTAATAAGGATTATTAATAAGGATTAATAAGGAGTATAGTGATATAAATATAATATAGGATGAACAAAAATGGTGAACATAAAAGGATTCATATAAGGAAAAAAGTGAATAACATACTTGAATGTGAATATATATATATACATAGTGATATTGTGAAAATAGAGAGTGAAATATACCAAGGAATAATATAATGAATATGTATCTCTATGTATATGTATATATATAAGTATATAATCATATAATCATATAATTATATAAATATATATATAATCCAATGAAATAAATAGTGACATACCATGGATTATCGTAGTAATCTAGTAAAAAATATAGTGAAATATACCAGGGAATATAGTGAATAAAATATTGAATATATATATATATGTACAATCCATTGAGAATGATGTATCCAATAGTGGGGATATAGTGAAAATATCTTGATATACCGTTGCTTCTTGGATTCTAGTAATGCAGTGATTGATTCTTACAATACCCAATGGGTAAAATCCAAGGAGGTAAAATTAAGATAATTATTAGGCAACATAGTGACAATAGAATCCAATGAAATATTTTGATAATTGGGTTTTGTGGGTAGCATCCAACTGAAAAAGTGATGAATGCAGATAAATTGCTTTTTTGTAGTGGTTGTGAATTCTGGTGATATTTTGACATTTCTTCGATACTTCATTTTGCTCATTTTGCCACCGGATTGTCCCAACTTTGAAGAACCGTCGGTGAAATGTGAAATCCTCAAGTGCTGCTCAAACCCCGTTGCACGCCCGCATTTGTTGCTCACATTTCCCGGCATTTCCCCACGTTTGTAGTTGTGAATGTCCACATTCATAGTTGTGTAAGAAATGAGGTATACATATAGGCACTCATACCCCACATATATCATATCACTCATATAGTATCTAGTATCATATAGGTATACCCCAAAATCACCAATTTAACGACCTTCAGATTTTGAGTTTCTGCCAGTGGATGGCAGTACCCCAAATCTTCGGGCAAGCCCATGAGCTGGGCGGTTTGACCGTTTGACCCATCCATTTTTGGACTAACGCATCTCATATATATACATATATATACATAATTATGTACATATATATATATATATATGTGTGTGTTCTTGCTGATACATCCCCTTATATCTTGCCACACTGTATCCCTTAATATCCAACATTATATCGCGTTGAATCTCCACAGAACAATAATATAGGTGAGTTTTTCAGACAAAGCCACATGATCAATATACTCTCCCATACTGTCCCATAATGTCCCACTATATTCCCATTCAATCCCCATGAAAGGGTTGCTAATTTTAGTGAATTCATTGGTGAAAGCCCCATCAAATCACCATGTTTGTTGTTGTTGAAATTCCAATTTGTGTTGGTTAAATCCCCATGTTCTTCGTTAAAACCCTATTTTTGGCAGGTAAAATTGCCATTGAAAAAAAAAAACACCCGTTCTCTCCGGCCAAAGTGCCACCAGCTGGTCCTGGTATTGGGATCCGCGCTCCTTGGCGCCAGGGAATCCCTTGATTGAAGGTGGTTGGAAGGTTGGAGCATTGAAGGCACCATGTTCTTTTGAATTGTCCAATACATATTATATAAGGCTAAATACAAATATAGATACAAAAGGTTATATAATAAATGTACATGTCTAGTTGTATTTATGTCTATATGTGAAAGCTGCAAAACATGTGCAAAAATAAATACAGAACCCTAAGATGTTGCTGGCAGAATTATGACAGTACGTGTACCACTAGATCCGCCATTTCCAGTGGACCAGTGGGAAGTAACAATTCATCTTGAGCAAATCATTACAAGCGGAACTGGGTAAGAATGTTACGAAATAACTGGTGATTCCATCAAATTGATGACAATAGTATGAATCAAAGTAATGTTAGAATGACTAACATGTTCAAATAATATGAAAATGACCTATAATCACCGTTAATAGGCTGCAACCCTGATAGAACGAAGTGCCCATCAAAGAGTGCCCATAAAGTAGGCATTGATCATTCCCGGCTGCCCAGCAAGTGGATATATGGGTATGGGGAGGGCGTGTGTCAGCCACTGCGGTGTGAAGTGGACTGGACTAGACTGGATTGGACAGTGTGGAGTGGAATGAAACGGAGTGGAACAAATGGAATGGAGTGGAGCGAAGGAGGGAATGGCGAGTGGGAATGAGAGTGGGACTGGGAGCGCGTCGTCATAACAAAATCCTGGTTGGTGGTTTCAACCTACCTCTCTGGAAAATGATGGAGTTCGTCAAATCGGGATCATGACATTCCCAACTGAATGGAAAGTCATAAAAATCATTAAAATTCCATGGTTCCAAACCACCAACCCGATGACTATGTGTCCTATACACGTTGGATCTTCGGATGCCTATACGCGGTGTCTCCGCCGAGCAGCTGCGGTGCCCAATGGTTGAAGCCCCAGGGTCTGGCCACCAAAGGCAGCACGTTGCCTCCGGAAAATCCCATGGGAAGATATGGAAAGTAGAGGAAGATTTATGATTATTTCTGATTATTTATGATTATTTATGTATATTTGCATGTTGGATTGCCCATTGGTTACCAGATGGTACCCCAGTTGGGGTGCAACAAAAAAATGCCCACCCAAAGCTGAAGTTCCAATCATCCATGGCGATACAATCATCCTAGTTTCAAGGAGCGCGAAATTTCAGGACATTGGTGATATAATTGGATAAGATTTGGATAAGATTTGGATAAGATTTGGTATAAAATCAAATAAGACCAGCAAAACAAGGATCGAGAAAATTTCCCAACAATCTAGCGAGCCCACTGTGCCTTGATCTAAGACCATAGCTCATTTGATGCCTATCATCCGCCAGGCCTTTGAAAAGTAAACAAAATCATTTCACAAATCTTTAAATCCAAAAAAGATCGCTTCTTTGTTGCATTTTATCCAGCAGTTCATGATTAGATATGAGATTATTACAGTAGAATCAGTAGATCACTAATGATCACTATATCTCCCCGAATAAACTAAACCGCCCCCGCCTGAGCTGTGGTGCATGCCATCACGCTGTCCTCCCACGGTGCCCGCCAGCACGTTGACAAAGTCCTCCGGGTGCGGCACCCGCACGTTCTCCGCCGAGGCGACGCTGACGGCGAGGACGGCGACGGCGCCCAGGCCGTGAACGCCATGTCCCATGGCATCGGCACGGAAGGCGACACCGGTGGATCGTTGGGGGAAGAAACGATAGGGTGAAACCAAGGGATGTCACCTTTTGGAACAGGCCTGATATTTTTACGGAACTGCAACTAGAAACTTATAGTTGTGTTGACCACCAAGAAAGTGTGTTGTTGTTTTTTCCTTAATCCGTGGGGCTAAACTAGGGGGAAACCCCAGGTTCCATCCATCTCGCTATGTAGATGCAACTCATGAGATTTCAGCAATATGAAATTGGCCCATTTGGGGATGATGTCCTTTCAGGTCAAGATACTTTGGTGAAGCTCCATGACCCTCTGCTGAAGCTATCATGTTGCACAATCAAAGCCAATAAGCTACATGGTCTTGGGCAAATGAGTGAGGGAAATGGTGCCTGTCTAGAATATCTGGGCAAATCATTATACCATCTATATAGTAATGTATCGTAGCTATAGAAAATCAACATACTTAATAGCTAAATGGGTCAGTTTCAGCAAGAAAAACTATGTTAAATTACCACAGTATACTTGTCAAAGTGGAAATAAGCCATGTTTGAGATGATTACCCCAGAATCCAGCAACCGGAATGGGTTTGGTATCACTCACCCTGAGTCTCCCGTCCAATATGGAGGCTAGGTGGGTCTTCCCGCCAGTTTGTCCAGAAATGGGCTACCCATCTCATGTTGTTGGTTATGTGACTATAGCTAATCATATGTATTTATGTATATATATATATAATTATATCATGATAATTACATTGATATAATATATATATATATATGTGCCATGTGCCATGATATGGCGCTTTACATCTCCCATTAAATCCCCATTAAATAGCGCTTGATTTTCAAGCAACACCCCGGACTTTTTGGGGCTCCCATTGCGTCTTGCGTCGATCTCTGTGCGGCACACCCATTGCAGGTGAACCTGTTGTATCTTGACCGGTCACCGGTTCTGCACTTCGGCATGCTTCTTAGAAGCAGCCAGACACTGCAGGAAATCCGATGATACCACCTGGGTGTCCAATAGCTGGGAATCCGACGTTGAAACAAAAACTGGATCCAGAGCAGTTCATGATGGCTGGCATCCACCATGAATCAACAAGCTGAACAACAATATCACCAGAAGGACTCCACAAGTGAAAGGTGTCACAAACCCTCCAAAACCATTCTCCCAGCATCATCTAAAGGTCAGAGACTTGGCTAGACATCGCTGTGGCAAATTCCCGGGACACACCAGATATGATGGGTCATATGAGTCATATGTGAACTGCATGTGGAACGTAATCTACTCAATAAACATATATATATATAAATCACTAAAAACATAATTTAAAAAAAAAAAACTCTGAAAAGGGCAGAAACATCTGCAAAACAGTGAGTCGTCCTTTCATGCTGAGCTCCTTTCCCGTGTTGACCAAGGGCACGACGTTAAGGGTCCAAACTCAATGGGTGGTTCACAGAACTTGCCGTTTACGGTTTGTAATGACCCAAACCATTGGTATTTCAAAACATCCCCAATGGTTTGGGAAATTACCATTGGGATTTACCCAAACCATTGGCAATTCAAAACCATTATCATTTGGGATTTCCCAAAACACCAATTTTTTGATGATTTTGCGATGGAGGTGCTGCAGTGCAGGGATTTTTTCAGTACGAATCCATGGTGTTTGATCCAAACCATGCAGGCTTCCTGTCATGTTCATTTGAAGCAATTTTGAGAAGGAAAAGGTCGAATGTGATTCATTATTATTGGGTATATTATATATATAGTATAGTATATATATATAGTATATATAGTGTGTATATATATATAGTATATATATATACTATATATATATAGTGTATATATATATAGTATATATATAGTATATATATAGTATATATATAGTGTATATATATAGTATATATATATATTATTATATATCCCTAGTTGGAATATGTAAAATGACCCTCAAATGGTTGGTTCATCACCTCGGTCACCTCTGGTTTCGGGCTCTTGATGAAGTAGCGGGTTAGCATCTCAAATCTTACCCTCCGGTAAACTAACATAGCTATTGAAAATGGTGATTTTTAGGGATTTATATGGGATATATATATATATATATGGGAATTACCATCTGGTAAACATACAAAAAGCTATTGAAAATGGCCATGGAAATAATTGATTTACCCATTAAAAATATGGGTGGATTTTCCATAGCAAACTGTTAAACGTTCACCAGAGGGTAGTCATCCTCTGCGAGTTATCTTACTCAACCCCCCTTTATGTATGGTTGATTTTCTCACTCAAACCTCTATTTCTAGGGGATTGTCCATTGCCACTTTTTGAGTACGGAGGGTATGTAACTGTGTTTTTTACTTAAAGCATCTTAAAGTCTTAAAGCCCAACAACCACCCGTAGGTATGAGTTAGAAGTGCCGAACACATACCCCAAAAGTTGGATGGTCAAGTACCAAAAACGATATGTTCATCTGTGATTACGCCAAGAAAAATAGGCGATTGCATTGCAGATTCACATTTCTGAATTATCATGTGCTTGGAAAACTCTTACTAGCTCCTTGGCTCCCCAATATGGGCTTCCAGAGCTCCTTAGTTCCCCTCCATTCAAACCACTGGACAGATCGACAGTGAACTTGGTCTAGTGGATATATCCACAGCATCTATAGATAGATGGAGTAACAAAGGAACTTGTAACTTGGCTCCTTTGGCATGTAATAGGGGGTGTGGATAATAAAAAGCTGCCACCCTTCTGCTTTCCGCTGTCCAGGTGCGCCTTTGTAAATGGCCCGTCGGCCCGTCGCCCTGCTCACCGCACAGCGACCGGTGGATTGGGCCCTGGGGCCGGCGGCACAGCCTCACCGAGGAGGCGAGGGCGCCGGGAAAGTTCTGGATCCACGGCATGGGCATGACACACCCATCATTGCTGGTTCAATTTTCTAAAAAAATGCCCTGCAGACTGTGACATCTTTGTGGTGTCTAGAATTCGAAGCATCCCTTGGTTTTGGTCTCGTTGATCCCTATTATCCGCTGGAATATAGGACTGGTATTCAAGACTGAATGCTAAATACCCACCAAATGCGTGTTATGTTCAGTACGTTTTGCTGATCATGCCGTTCATCAGTATCAGACTGTATCCAATATATGTACTGTATCCCCATTTTCAATCCACGTTTTGCAGATTAAATCCCAAGTTTTTCGGATTTAGACCACTGCAAAATAAACCCTTTAGTTGGTGGGAATACTATGATCGCTGTGGCACACCCAGTAGCTCCTCCCGAACCCTTTTACTTTTTGGGGTCTGTATTCAGAAACCACCCACCATTCCTTGTGAAACTGGTTAGGCTTAAGCATCGGAATTACATGGAAATACTAAATGATACTAAATGAACTAACTATAGCAACCCTCAAGTGAAAAGATAGAAACGTAAAATATCATAAAATAAACATCCTCTTAAAATAGTGGTCAATTGGTTTTCGTGAACTGTTTCGGGCTTGCCAAAATTCCTTCAGGCAGAAAAGATGTGGGTTCATCCCTGTGTCCCCGACAATTGATGCGGTGTTACCATCCTTGATTCATTGCCCTCACATTTTAATAGACATTACCCTCTGGTAATTAAACATACAAGAAACCATGGAAAATCACCCTTTTTAAGAACGGTGAACCATCTATTTCGATTAGGGCCATGTTCCATAGCAAACTGTTAGTCATTACCAGAGGGTAATAGACATTCTCAACCAGTGGATTTGGTGGTACCCCATCTTCAGGCACCAGGCACAGGATATTGTGGATTTTTTCACGAGCTATGGTCCATGTTGCGATGGGGAATGGTAAATCCGTATATTTCTAGTCGTAAAATCATGTAAAATCCCAGTTATTGCTGGTTAGATTCCATAAATAACCACGAACAAGCATTCTTAACTTAACCAGTAATAATCCTTATTAATCACTCTTAATATAACCACAATCATTGCTGATTCATAACATCCCATGACCATTCTTCGTTGTGTCCAATCTGCCAAAATTACTTTATTTCTTACCTCGTCTCCCTCGTGTGCTATTTCGTTCCCCAGTTTTAACGCCTCGCATCGCTAATTCGCATGATGGAAATAAGGCTTGTCCTCGTTATTTCTCAATAAGGAATGAAGGTTTCAGGTTGTGGTGTGGCCCAAACCAAGCGACAGAAAAACTTTTCCCCCTCTTAAAAGTTTATTTTGGGGTTACCTCATGTGACAACGGGACGCCTCGCTAGTTCCCATGTTCAATACAGAAGACTTCCCCTCGTCATTTCTGAGTAGGGGTTTAAAGTTTAAGGTTGTGGGGTGGCCCAAGCCAAGCGAACAAAAAAACTCTTGCGCCACTGAAAAGTTTAGTTTGGGGATCGGGTTTGCCCGCGTTCCTTTTACTCTTCGTCCGGCTGCTTGCGCTTCATACAATGATTTCCTTTTAGCTTGACCCCAAAAAAAAATATCGTACAATGATTTTTTAAAATAGTTTTCTTTGCAGCTCTTTCATGCTCACAGTGATGAAAGCAAAGCAAGCTCGGGTAGAATGCATTCAAAAAACTTTCCTACCCCGCAAAAGTTTCTTTCCTTCCTTTTGTGGAGTTGGACCTCTAGTGACGGAAAATCAAACTTTGTGGCTCCCCAAAAGTTTTTCTAACCCAGTCCAAACATGCAACAAACCAATACAAGGCTACCTCGTCGAGTTGGCTAATTCACAGAACCAAATTAAGCTTTACCTCGTTAAATTTGACTTACCCACCTCGTTGCCTCGTTTGTCCTCGCTATAATTTGTGCAGGTCCAATGATCTCCCCAGCAGCGCCTCGGCTGCGGGACACCGCAGGGCCGCCGCAAGGGGTGGAGAGGAAAGCTGTGCGTCCAAGTCCAACGCAAAGGCGTGGTGCACCTGGACTCCACGGTCTCTAAGGGTCCAAGGCGGGTCTCACAGAGATCAACCTGATTTGTTTGGATGTTTTCGACATGCTTAAGGACATCATTTGACATGATGTTCGTGATCTTTTCTGGAAAATTTGTTGGAATTGAGGGGGCACCATTTGCCCGAAATGATTGTTAAAAATTGGGGGGACGCCCCAGTTTTCATAGGCCGGCTGGAGGGAAAAGGGTATATATATCATATATATATATAATATATTGTATATATATATACATGATTATATGTGTATCTGTGGGGTACATCCATAGACATGCTTGACCATGCACGTATCAGCCTTTCATGTAAGTGAGTGTACCAGCGTCATGGTTGGTGCGGCTATATCATTTGGAATAGGGTAGGAAATTGTTTGGGTTTTTTTTTTAGTTTGGGGAATTTTTTTTGGATTTCCGGTTCTCACCATTTTCCATGCTATTTGCAGCATTTTGGAGCTGGAAACTGCCATTTCCACGGTATGTGCAACGGTTTTGAGTTCGAACCTCTCATTTTCCATTGTATTTTCCACGGTATTTGCAACAGTTTGCAGCATGTTCTGTCCATTTTCCATGCTCTTTGCAGCATTTTTGAGCTGGAATCTGCATTTCCACCGTATGTGCAACATTTTACAGCTACATTCCTCACAGTACTTGCAGGATTTTGGAGCTGAAGGCTGACATTCCAACAGTTGTTTGTTGTTACTGTTACTGTGTTGGTGTTGGTGTTGGTGTTGTTGTTGTTGGTGGTGTTGTTGTTGTTGGTGGTGGTGGTGGTCGTGTTGTTGCTGTTGTTGTTGCTGTTGTTAGTGTTAATGTTAGTGTTGTTAGTGTTGTTAGTGTTGTTAGTGTTGTTAGTGTTGTTAGTGTTGTGTTAGTGTTGTGTTAGTGTTGTGTTAGTGTTGTGTTAGTGTGTGTTTGTTGTTGTTGTTGGTGGTGGTGGTGTTGGTGCTGGCGGTTGTGTTTGTGTTGATAGTTGTTGTTATTGTTGTTAGTGTTGTTGTTGTTGTTTGTTGTTTGTTGTTTGTTGTGTTTGTTGTTGTTGTTGTTGTTGGTGGTGTTGTTGTTGTTGTTGTGGTGGTGGTGGTGTTGTTGCTGGCGGTTGTGTTTGTGTTGATAGTGTTGTTATTGTTGTTGTTGTTGTCGTTGTTGTTTGTTGTTGTTGTTGTTGGTTGTTGTTGTTGTGTTGTTGTTGTTGTTGTTGTTGTTGTTGTTGTTGTTGTTGTTGTTGTTGTTGTTGTTGTTGTTGGTGTTGTTGTTGTGTTTGTTGGTTGTTGGTGTTGTGTGTTGTTGTTGTTGTGGTGTTGTTGTTGTTGATGTTGCTCCACACCTCATGGAAAAGCAAAAAAGCAAAGAAAAGCAAAAAAGCAAAGAAAAGCAAGAAAAGCAAAAAAGCAAAGAAAAGCAGAAAAGCGAGAAAAGCAAAAAAGCAAAGAAAAGCAAGGAAAGCAAAAAAGCAAAAAAGCAAAGAAAAGCAAGAAAAGCAAAAAAGCAAAGAAAAAGAAAAGCAGAAAAGCGAGAAAAGCAAAAAAGCAAAAAAGCAAAGAAAAGCAAAGAAAAGCAAGGGAAGCAAAAAAGCAAAAAAGCAAAGAAAAGCAAGAAAAACAAAAAAAGGAATAGAAGCAAAGAAGCAGAGAAGCACTGCAGGAGGCAATAGAGTAAGCAGGAAGAAATCCAAAAAAAAATCCCTAAACTAAAAAAAAAAAATCCCTAAATAAATGGCCCTCCTTTGGAATATGTCGCTAATCCTACAAATCTTGGAAAAAACAAGTGGGATGGAATATCTGTCGAAATGACTATAAGAATTTACGCATCAACCAAGGTTTATGCAGCACACTCGGTATTTGGAAGTTGCCTCTATCTCTGTGAATAATACATGTTTGGATTGACTAGCCTGACTGGACAAACACATCAATAAACAATAATATATGTATATATACACATCATGTATTCGACTGGCAGTACTAATACAATTAATCTTATCTTATCCGTAGTTTGTTCTTGAAATATTGTTTTCCATTGAAAAATCTTCAGCAAACAAGTGAAAGACGGATGGCCCCAGAGCGCAGTGGAACATAATAATTCAGGTGTATCTGAACGCCTTATAGGGACGCGTAGGTTTTAGGATGAATAAACGAACTGCGTGTATGTGAGAAGAGGTGATCAGCAAGATGGAAAGAACATAATTATGATGAGAAAGTGACAAAGATAACAAAGGATAAAAAAATGACATTGTAAATTTGAAGCCCTTTTATGGATGCATCAGTTTTACAATGAATTCTGAATAAGTACAAACTTAGCGCGTGCAAGAAGAGGTAACCAGAAGAACGGAAAGAGAGAAGGGAGAAGAGAGAAGAGAGAAGAGCGAAGAGAGAAGAGAGAAGAGAGAAGAGAGAAGAGAGAAGAGAGAAGAGCAAAGAGAGAAAAGAGAAGAGAGAAGAGAGAAGAGAGAAGAGCGAAGAGAGAAGAGAGAAGAGAGAAGAGCGAAGAGAGAAGAGAGAAGAGAGAAGAGAGAAGAGAGAAGAGAGAGAAGAGAGAGAAAAGAGAGAAGAGAGAGAAGAGAGAGAGAGAGCAGAGAGAGAAGAGAGAGAATAGAGAGAGAATAGAGAAGAGAGAGAGAAGAGAGAGAAGACAGAGAAGAGAGAGAAGACAGAGAAGAGAGAGAGAAGAGAGAAAGAGAGAGGGAGAGAGGGAGAGAGGGAGAGAGGGAGAGAGGGAGAGAGGGAGAGAGGGAGAGGGAGAGGAAAAAAAATGTGAAGATGTACAGATATAAGATGTGCAGATGTAAAATGTGAAGATGGAAGATGTGCAGATGTAAAAATAGAAGATGTAAGATGTGCAAATGAAAGAGGTGCGATCGTGAGAGATGTAAGATGTAAGATGTGAAAATAAGATGTGCACATGTAAGATGTGCAGATCTAAGACGCGAAGATGAATATCTCACTTGATTTTTTTAGAAGAACCTTTCGCTCAAACGCCCATTCATTTTGCTTGGCCTTTGGGAGCCCCCAAGGTGAAACGGAAGAAATTACAAAAGGTAGCAGGTAGCCGGCTCTGTAAAATAAACAAACCAAAAATTAAATGTTATATATATATATAATTATATGAATTTTGATATTATATATTACTATATATAATAACATACCTTTGCACACTTTGATTGGCTTGAACATCCCCAACTAGATTCTCTTGGCTAATCTTTGGTCCCTTGATGTACCCGTTTCATCTGGTGCATCCTCGGCGCATCTTCGGGAATCGCATGATCGCGCATGCGCCGCGCAAGGGCTCGTCTGTAGACGTTGTTGTAGTAAAACCTGGTGCAGCAACAAGGGCAGCCGTCCCCGGTCCGTTGTTGGAAACCATGGGGGTGTGACGAAAACGAATGAAACAACTATGGCAATCATAAGTCCTCCGCTTCGGGAGATTGCAATCATGATAAACGGACCATGCGAATATTCTCCTGGCATCATTCCTGGCATGAACATCTGAGCAGTATCTGGACAGATCGTGTTTTGCGGGAACCAACCCGGGGAAGTCACCCTTCCGATTTCATCAGGAAAACGGAGATTGCAACGGGTTTCAGTTGGTGGTATTCCAACATGATTGTTGGTGGTATTGGTGATCTTCCCATCTTTGTTACTTTGTCAGGTTTCCAATTCAACATGTGTCCGTAAGGTTCCCAGTTCTTCTGGTGGAAGGTCAAGCGACAGTCGCCCAGCACGGGCAAACTCGGGCGAGAGCACATGGGCAAAGAAGACCCAATCCACCTCAGCTGAGATGAAAAGCAGAGAAGCTCTGGCACCATATATAATAGTTGGGTTTTGACTCTTGACCCATCTCCATATATGCGACAACCCCAAACTGGAAACCTGCAGCAAGGCCAAAAAAAAACTGATGAGCAGACAATTGAGAGAGGGCTGAAGACAGAAAAAATATCACACTCAAAAATCCCTCAGCAAGCATCAAACTTACGAGCCTACAATGCTCTCCCATTTATTCACGTATTTGCCGGTTTTACCCTTTATTTTGCTGCTTAAACAACACAACAAGTTTGTTGCCTAAATGCTGTATTCTTGTCAGTTCCGTCCCTCATATTGGCAAAAATCCTCAATATCTCATTGTTATTGCTTGAATCAACATGTTGTTTTTCCAGCACCCCATTTTGGTTAAATGGGTTTGTCACAGGAGGACACCCCCCAACAAATGCAAAAAAATGGATCATCCAACAGGGCGCCCGGAAATTCCCAGCCCCGCCTCTTCATCCTCCTGAAGTGCCAAGGGCGGCAGCCCTGCCTTACTGAGAGGTGCCAGGTAGACGTCCAGCAGCTCCTGGTTGTCCGCGGCCAGAAAAAAGGGTCAGTCTTTTTGGTTGGCACCCGTTCCTATGGTTTCTTCCCTGGTGTTTTTTGGTGAGCACCCTTTGGTAATTAAACCTGGTTTGCTGGAAAATCCTCCAGCAATAGTTCGACGATTGGCCGACCCCAAAGACCTCCATTGAGTTCGGAGATTTCCCAGCTAACAAAGCACCCTTCCAGGGTTGATTCCCAAAAGATTCCGTTGGTGAAATCCCATGTTTTTCCTCCCAGTATATTTTTCAAAGGTTGTTTCACCGCAAAAAAAATGGTTTTTGTTCCCGCAATTTAACACAACCCGTGTTCATGATTATATGTCCTTATGAATATCCCAATACTATGCCCATTTTTACCCCCATTTTCGGTATATAATTAAATCACAATTCATCCTTAATATTATACTAAACCCAAGAAATAGAGAAATGTCAGTTACCACGATTTTGAAAAGATGTCATGGTTCTATCACGGTTCTATCCCTTTAGGGATTACTGTAATTACCCTCTGATAATCAAACATGGCAATGGAACATTCCACATTTGTAGATGATTTTCCCAGCTAGAAACCTCCATTTATAGAGGATTTCCCCGTTTGCCAGGTGGCGCTAGGGATAAGTAACTCATCAACATTAACATCCCATTGGATTATTATCCCAGAGCGTAGTCGTAGCTGCCAGAAACTCAAATTATTATCCCATCACCAGCAGTAACGCGCAAGACGGTGGCGGAAGTTTCAAAGCTAGTAAACCTATAGGAGAGAAGCCTGGCTGGCAGAGCGAACCCACTGATGGACCGAAGGGAGGTTGAAGCTCTGAGTCTCTCTCTCTCTCTCTCTTTTCTTTTTCTCCATCTACCTACCTACCTACCTACCGACCGACCTACCTACCTATCTATCTATCTATCTACCTATCTACCTGTCTATCTATTTGTCTATCTATCTGCGTGTCTATCTCTACATCTACCTCCACATCTATCTCCGCATTTATCTCTACATATATTTCCACCTATCTTCCTATCTATCTATCTATCTAACTATCTATCTATCTATCTATCTATCTACCTACCTGTCTATCTCTCTCTCTCTCTCCCTCTGAGACTCTCTCTCTCTCTCTCTATGTCTTTATTTATTTGTCTGCCTGTCTATTTGTTCTATCTATCTCTCTGACTATCTATCTCCATCTTTTCTATCTATCTATCCCTCTTCTATATGTCTGTCTATCTGTGTATCTATCGACCTACTTCTCTATCCATTTGTTTGTCTCTCTGCTAATCTCTTCCAATCTCTCTATCTTTTTATCTCTCTGGCTCTTTCTATATATCTCTCTCTCTCTCCTATCTGTCTGTCTGTCTACCTATATCTATCTATCTATCTATCTGTCTGTCTGTCTGTCTGTCTGGCTGGCTGGCTGTCTGTCTGTCTGTCTGTCTGTCTGTCTGTCTGTCTACCTATCTCTCTAAACTATCCATCCATCCATCTATCTGTCTGTCTATCGGTCGATCTATCTATTGGTCTATCTGAGCAATTATGCAAGACTTCTTTCAGAAGTGGAAGCAAAACGAAGCAATTCTGCGAGACTTCCCCAAAAAATGAAAGTTGCCAGGTCCAAAACGAAGCAATTCTGGGAGACGTCCTCAATTTTTTAATTTGACAACGTCGAAAACGAAGCAATTCGGCGAGACTTCCTTCAATTATGGAAAGTTGAGTGCAAACCTGACGGCCTCGTACCAATGGATTTTGCGATTTGTCCACCCCTAATCTAATCTAATCTAATCTAACCTAATCTAATCTAATCTATCTATCTAGCTATCTATCTTCAAGTTTGAAAACAAGGCTATTCTGCGAGACTTCCTCAGTTTTTGAACTTGACAACATCAAAACGCAGCAATTCTGCGAGACGTCCTCAATTTTTGAACTTGATAACATCAAAAACAAAGCAATTCTGCGAGGCTTCCTCATTTTCCGAAGTTAACAACATCAAAAACGAAACCATTCTGCGAGACTTCCTTCAAAAATGGAAAGTTGAGTGCAGAGCTGACGGCCTCGTACCATTGCGTTTTGCGATTTTTCCAGTCCACCTGTCTAAAGTGCTGCGCCTGCCACAAAAAGTGACGCCAGGTCATGCGAAGTGCTGCACCTGTCACGCAAAATCATCTTAGCAAAAAACCTGAAGATATGATGCTCCAAAATGCAACCCCTCGGGAAATCTGTGTCTGCCACGCGAAATGCATCTTTGTAGATACTCTTCAAAGGTCCCACGCCTGCCATCGTTTTTGAAAATGCTGCCAGACTCACATTTTGCTCACTTTTTGCAAGGTGCAGCATCCAGCGCGCCTGCCACACAAAACGACGGTTGAACGTCCAAAAGCGCTTCGTGCCACAAGGGCGTGCACTTTTTCAACATCTCAACTGCGAAAAGTGGTCCGAACATGGTGTGCTTTTCACACTTTGACTTTCAAATTTGCTTCGCGCCACGGCCGGGCACTTTTTCAACGACTTAACTTCCAAGAGTGCTCCGAACGCGGTGTGCTTTGTACATTTTGGCTTCAAAATGATTCAATATGTGCTTCGCGCCACAACGGTGTGCACTTTTTCAACATCTGAGCTTCCAGAAGTGTTCCGAGAAAGGTGTGTTTTGGACCTTTTGACTTCGAAATGTGCTTCGCGCCACAACGGCATGCGCTTTTTCAACAGCTCAATGTCCAAAACTGCTCCGACGCTGAAGTGTTCTTGCCATTTTGACTTGGAGATTGCTTCGCGCCACAACGGCGTGCAATTCTTGATCCCTCATCCCGCCAAACGGCTCCGCACCCGCGGCTTTAGCGGGCCCACTTTTCGACCCTCCGGAGCCACAAAACATTGGAAAAAACTAAGTGTTTCGCGACTTTTCTATCTTTTCGCACACTTTGATCTTCTTTCTTCTGACTCTCTCTTCTCTGACTCTTTCTTTCTCTGACTCTTCTCACCACTGTTGCTGCATCCATAAGTCGGAAGTTTGACTTCTAAACTTCCTTCGATTATCCCATTACTAACCACTGGCTTTCACCACTTAAAAGACCACACCAGGTTGGCCCAACCTGGCAGCTGCCATCACTCATCTGGCAAGAGAAACCTGGATGTGGAGGATGCAGCTGTGACATCTCCATTGACTGATAAGTAAATCACCATGTTTTTGTGGCTTAAGAAGTAATGCAATTCCCTGTGTCTATCCATTTAGTGGGTGTCACACATCATTTGTGGGACAATATCCCACATTGTTGTAGTTTGTGTCCTCATCTAATCTTCATTATAACCCATCATATATCTTCATCAAAACCACCACTGCTATAGCTTAAATCAACATGTTCGTCTCGTAATCTTCATTATACGGCTTCCGAACCATGACTAAGCTCTTAGTTCCGAGTGTGTATTTTCAGTATATATATATATGTATACATATATACAGTATACCGTATACCCCAAAGATATGTCAGATATTCCCAGCTCCATAATCCAGATATCAGATTGTTGGCTAGATAATGCTAGTTATATCCCATCAAGTTCCCATTAAACCCCATGAAACCATGAAATCAAGGAAAAATCGCCATGAAATCCCCGAAAAAAATCACGAAGCCATCCCACCCACTATAGCTGCCAGGGGCAATGGATCAGCTCGCCCACCTGCGATGGCGCTAGCCCCAGCTGTTCCTCCAGCGCCCGCTCCGCGCTCTGAGTGGACACCTCTGCGGCATGGCCATCCCCAGCGCCGTAGCAGCGGATCTCGGTGTGGCAGCTGGGACCCCAACGGCCTGGCGATCCATCATCGGACCATCACCGGCCTGTTTTTTCATGGAAAAAAATGGAAAAATCCTGAAAAATCCACATGCGTCAATGGGAATTCATGGGAAAATGGGAAATGTTGTTCATGGGAAAATGGGGAAAAAATCGATGTTGTTCATGGGAAAATGGGGAAAAAATCGATGTTGTTCATGGGAAAATGGGGAACAGTTGGAGAAAAACAATGGGAAATGGCCCAGTGGCCCATGGTCAAGTTACCCCATGTACCATTAATCTACCATGGCCAATCAGAGTGGGCATCTATATGCTGACAGAGTATATATATATATTATACATATATGTATTTATATTTAAATATCCGCCTTTGTGTTCCACCCGCAACCTGGGACCACCCTTTTTATACCCAGGTTCCCCTGGAGGTACGCACTCTATAAGATCCGGAGATATCAGGATAGATCCTAGTTTCAAGAAAAAGAAACACTGTATAAATCAAGGCTAAACAGGGTTCCACATGCATACACATGCCTTCTTGTAAACCTGAAGTCTCTATCAAATGGGGGTCCCAGATTACTGCTGGGTTGTTTTCATCTCCAAAGATCAATTCACTTAGTCCTCTACAAAATCAAAATTTCCAAAATGGGATTCTCAAGAAGTCCGTTCAAACATTTGAATTTGGACCCTTGATATTACATAACCTGGTCTCTGATTTTATAGTGGGGAATATGAAAAAGGTGTCAATACAAATTGGACCTGGGTCCTTGATTCTGTAGAGATGGTTTTTTGACATGGCCCTGGTTATGAAAACGGAAATTGACAAAGAACAAACGAACAACAATAATGACCAGACAAATTGGAAACAATTGTCAATTTTGGGGCGTTTTTTGGCACCAGGGTTGTTGAAGCAAAAGTATGCACAAATTATCTATAAAATCAAGAAAAAACATATCTATTTGGGCGCGTTTTCAAACTGATTCTTCCAGTCAAGATTAGCTATCAAGTGTTATTCTTTAGCAAAGCCCGCTTCAGCAGCTATAAGGGTTCCCAGCAAACACGCGGCATTGCGCATGAGCATCACTAATTTCAAGGATGTTAGAAATATCAATACTATTAATCATAAAAATAATTTGAATAATATGGATAATAATAATGGTTCATAATAATCATAGTAGTAATCATAGTTATAATATGCAACAAATGTTACTAATATGAATATATAAATAACATGAATGCATCAATAATATGCAAACTGTTAAAAACCTATAATATTAATAATATGAATAATATGCATAATATTCGATATATCGCTTAATTCTCAATGAACAATGTTAATAATATTGAAAATTATCAAAATATGGAATATTAACAAACTCAATAATAATTAAGATATCAATAATATAATTAAAACATGTATCTATCAATATAAAATAAACACTCCCCAATGTCCCCAGCTCTCTTTTATCATTGGTACCTTATAAATCATTTCCCCTTTGGTCGTTCCATGGTTCTATCCCCTCTAAGAACCTCCTATACTATAGTTACATTTTGCGAACCTGCAACAAACCACTTTCGGGTTTGTTCCCCTCAATCTGGGAAACCCAGTCATACCCTCTGGTGATTTAACATATTTATGGAAAATTGCCATTTATATCATTTATAGTTGATTTACCTATTAGAAATTGTGATATTCCATAGCTATGTTAAATTACCAGAGGGTAATCATTGCAAATTGTTGTGGAAAAACTCAAACAAGAATGGATTGTGAAAGGGTTGTGGTTTCGCCATCACAGATCTCAAGGTGTCATGGTCTAATCAGTTTAATCCGTGGCAAAATCCCCAATTCAATTGAGCCATTAAAAAGACCCCTATCCCATCCCATTATACTAGTTGCTGAATAGCTTTCCCTGCTATAGGTTATAGTAATCCTCAATAAGCCAGGTAGTATTCGGTAGTATAGTAGAACTCCCTATAATACCCAATCAACAAGGGTAATATACCTCAAATTGTTTTAATGGCTCCATTTATCCTTCGTGCCGCGCCTGGGTGTTTCAGCCCCTTCTGCCACTTCCGCAGCAACAGCGCACCACTGCGGGGCACACAGAGCCAGACGTGCACCGCGCGATGGAGCCTGGACATGTATCTCCTCCAGGATGACTACTGTATATAATTATACAATTAGATACATATACATGGATCTGTCTGTATGTGTATGTGTCTAAGTACATGTCTGTATGTGTAGGTATGCGAAGGTATGTGCAGGTTCGTGCAGGCATGTGCAGGTTTGATCAGGATTGTGTAGGTATGTGTATGTGTGTGTATGTACCTGCGTATGTTGGTGTGTGTGTATATATGCGCATGTTAACGTATGTGCAAGTACATGTAAGTACGTGTATGTGTGTTTGTGTGAATACGTATATGTGTATGTAGGTGGAGGTATATGTATGTATGTGTGTGTGCACGTGTACGTATATGTGTATGGATAAGTGTATGTATGTGTATTTATATCTAGGTTTGTCTAGGTATGGCTATAAAATTCTAGGTATGTCTAGGTTTTTGTTTATGTGTATTTTATGTGTATGCGTATTCATGCATGCAGGCGCAATGTATATATATATGTATATATAATACAGAATTACATATATAGTTATATATAATATATATATAATATTATTTGTTTTTTTCCGAGCCATACCCTGCAATGAGATTAGTCATGGTCAGCGCAAGGCGTGGGCGTAGCCTCAGGTCCGTGGTGCAGCTTAAATGCTCGTGTTATGGCTGCATTATATATATCCGCGTCTCTTCAACCACTGTCTCATTGTATTCGTAACCACGAAGAAAATGCTCGAAAACATTTTTTTTAGCCTAATGCAGCCAATTTTGCCTCGGGCGACCAACTCGTTTCTTCCCATACTGGACCCTAATTGCACTGCTAGGTTGGAATGAAACTTGACGCATGGGATCTTCATCTCGAGATCTCTAAGTACATGACCTAATAATCTGGGTTTTCTGCAGTGATAAGATTGGCTAAAAAGTTCTCAAATTCCCGTTGGTCGCCTTGATTTTGGTAAAGGATTTCTGTACATCTCTGCAAGACTACTCTGTTGGGATTTCGCCTATCTATGAAAGTTGACGGAATTCTGAGGATTTCCTCAAGCACCGTATCTGGAAGGCATCAATTTTCTTTAGCATGGCCCCTGTCAGTTGAATAGTCTCCAGACCATACAGCAACTTGGATCGCACTACTGCATCAAATATGAGCAATTGCCATTTAACGTTCGCATTCGTAGCCTTCCAGTACGGTAAGAGTTTAAATCAAGTTGTTCTTACTTCTTGCATTTTGTTGAGAATCTCGTGTTTTATGCTAGCTTCGTTGTTGATTTCGTTTCCTAGGTAAGTCGCTTCCATCTTTTTGGGGAGCGGTTCGTTGTTTGCAAAGTGGACCAGACCATCGTTGCTCATTTGAATCAGCACACATTTATTTCTGTTCAGCCGCAATCCATTTGCCTGAATTTGTTTCTGTGAGTTTCAGCAATTCATTTAAGGCCCTGTTGTCCGTAGAGAACAGAATGGTGTCGTCAGCATACTAAACCAAATCGAAATTAAGGTTTGGTATTCTGCCCTTGTGTACCCAACGGTTTGTTTTAGCCCGTATTTCGTCATCAACGCAAGACATTACCATAACAAAACATTATATATGTACAATTATATATATATATATACCTAGCGGGTTGTACATTCATACATGACGTTGCGTGCTTGCATGGGGTTCTACGTGGTTATTTATGCGTGATATTGGGCTATAACGTGGTTAGATGGGTTGGTCACGGGGTTTATGAGTACTGTTCATAGTCATGGAACCTATGTCAATATATCAAAAGACCTAGTTCAAAGACCTGGTGCCTTCTTAGTACCCTTCCCAACTAATCAACCACGGTATGTTTAATCTTGGATTGACAAGACTGAGAATATCATGGGCCGATATGGGTTGTAGGATTTTACACTTGGGATTTGTTGATGGTTGGTTCCTGGTTCTATGTTTGTAGCTTGATGTGAAACTTGCCTCGAGTTCGATTCCTGCCAGATTTCGATGAGATTTCGCCAATTTGGGCACCTTCCACATCCGAAAAAAGTTCCCATCGTGGTGATCCCAAAATCATCCATGGCCCATCGGGTCGCATCATCTTCACCAATCTTCGCTTTCTAGCGGAAAGATGCAGAAAACTTCTCTTGGCTCTTCATCCGGGGAATACTATTCTGTTCAGCCCCGAAATAGCTGGGCAATGGATGTTCGTCCCAAGGTTGGGTCCATAGGTCAGGTTTTAACCATGTGTTTACCTCATACCAATCTGTTTATCATTGTTTTCCCCATGAATAAGTGGCGAATATTCGAATATTCCCCCCAAATTCGTCGGTAGAATCCTCAAAATTGCAGTTTCAAAAAACACACATGAACCATCATGAACCAACAGAAAATGCTTGGCTCAAAAAATGCTTAGACCAAAAAATCCCAACGCAAAACTCTGTCGTCCATCCCAACCAACTGAAGAAGGCGAGTTGATCACCTCAGCAGGAACCTATCAGGACATCCCGACCTCCAAAAAAAATGCTGGGTCATCAGGAAAATCCCATGGTTATCCATGGTTTATCATCACAGAATCCCATGGTTTCCACAAGTTCTTTTCCTAAAATGGGGGGAGCCCCAAATCTTCCATTTTAGTATAGGATTTTTCATTATAAACCATCCAGCAGGGTATCCCCATGACATTTGGAAACCCCAAAAAAAGCGCTACGCTCCAGGCGACAAGTTCTGCTGTAGGCATTGCTCCAGGCTTCGTGGATCGCACAGCACCTCGGGATCGGTGTCCTGACCGGAAAATTCCTTGATGGTTTGTTGCTCCCCTGCCAAGTTATCCAAAACCACCAGCAAGTTATCGAGGTCCATCGAGATCTCATGGAGATCAACAAACGCACTCAGTGATGTTTGAAAAACACCAATGTTAGCCTCTGGTGATGACTAACATTGCTATTGAAAATGGCCTTGTGGTGGATTTACCCATTAATAGCATGGTGGATCGTTCCATATGTTTACCAGAGGCTAAATGTCTAGCTGAGAAAATCCCTCCGCGAACTATTGGTGGATTGTCCGGCCAGGTTTGATGTTAAAAACGATGGAAAGATCCACCATTGAAAATATGGGAAAATTCACTATTTCTATGGCCATGTATACAATAGCAACATGTTAGTCACCACCAGAGGCTACCATTCTGGTAACCCACCATTGGGGATCATTCCATCAGACAATTCCCACTGCTTCCAGCCCATTCATCATATTGGGGGGTGTGCTAAAATCGGGGTATATACCCCAAAATCGGGGCATGTTCATATGATTGTCCATTCTAAACCATCCAGCTGTTGTAGTATCCACATTCAAAGAAACCCCAGTATCACCAATTATTAACCATTATTAACCATTAGTAACCATCATTAAATATGTATTAACCATATATTTGCCATATTTTTTAACCTTTAGTACCATATTAACCATCATGAACTATCTGTTACCATATATTAACCATTATTATATTCTAAATATATATATATATATGTATTAGCCATATATTAGCCATGTTCTGTGGCACACTCCGTCACAAAAAATGTCGCTTCGCGCTTCGCGTTTCAACGGCGCACCTGGCCCTCAGGGTCCAGCACCTCCACGTAGTCCTCCGTGGCTGGCACGCCACCTGGGGCAGGATGGTGCCCCCTCAGTGATACCATCTGGTTATGACTGACATAGCCATGGTATAGATGACCCATAGAAATAGATGGTTTACCGTTCTTAAAAATGGTGATTTTCCATGGTTATGTTAGTTTACCAGATGGTATAAGTTGGTTTAATAAACACCATGAATACTATAGCTGGTTGGTGGTTTCAACCCACCCCTCTGAAAAATGATGGAGTTCGTCAGTTGGGATGATGATTCCCAATATATGGAAAAATAAAAATGTTCCAAACCACCAATCAGATAGTTATATCTATCATAAGCCATAGTTCAACCATGTTAAACCACTTAGATCTCAACTTAGCTATCTTGGGGGCCCCATCTTGTATGGGGGTTATATCATGTTTTATCCACATATAACTGGGGGAACCAAAAAAAATGGGGAACAATAAAAACATCTAACTGTTGACCGCATCGAAAAACTGATGGTTTTTGTCAGCTTTGTTTGGAACAAAAAACAAAAAATGTGTATCATCATTTTGCCATTTAATATTGCCACTCTGTGATATCGGTATCGCCGCATTTTTCAGCAAAGCCATTGTACCTTTTGCGAAAAGCTATCTCCCATGCTATCTCTTTTTTTTATCATCGTTGTCCAGACATGTTCCCTCTAGAATTTCAGCTCCCCCATATATTCCACTACCTTTGAATTCGATTGTTGGTAAAATATGTATCACATGTCATTCCCATCATACTCCCATCAATATTGTTGGTTCATGTTGCTTCTACCCCTATGTTTGATCGTCAAACCACCATGTAAACACTGTGAAACCACTTAGATGTTCATTTTTTAAGCCTAATATGTCATAATAACGTTCACTCTACCACTTAGATTTTCATGTTTTAAACCTAATAGTTCATAATAATATACTATTTCTCTTAGTACAACACGGCTAAGCATCGTTAAGACTACGGCTGTTTGGTCGCCAGATGACGTTGCGGCTCGCATCGCCGTAGGCACGGCGGATTGGTGAGGCCCGTGAGCTCCGGACAGACGTCCAACCTGCCGCGGCTGCCGCGAGCCATGGGAGTTTAATTGTTTGGGGAATCACCCGTAGGACCCATAGCATATGGATATATATATATACAATGTGAGGCCCCCGTTCGATAGCTAAGTTGGTGAACATAACTCCAATAACTATGGTTTATGGTATTTATAACTATAGTTACTGGGGCTTATAAACCAACTTATATATATATATCCCATAGGATCCATGGTGCTGCTATATATGGTAACATGGATCCCATCAATATACCCCAAATGTTAGCGTATATACCATACATGGATCCTATGGGTATATATACATATCATTGTGATCCTTATTATTAATTATATATATTATTACTATGATTATCATATGTTTTATTATCGTTACTACTATTACCATTATTACTATTATTACTATATATATATATATAAAATCATCTATTTGTATTATATGATATGATGGTAAAATGGCATAATACTGGGGCTTAAGAATGGGATAATTATAATTAATACATACATATTAATACAGTAATGGTACAATGATGATAGCATAATGGCTAGTAATTGTTAATAATGGTTAACAATGATGTCCCGAAGTGATTAGTATATGGATATGATATACCGCAGGAGCCATAATATGATATGCAGTAGAAAACAATGGGCCAAAATCAGGTTTCCTCGCTCTTACATGTTGATCCGTACCCAGTTCAAAGTGCTGATCATGATCATTTACCATGATCATGATCATAATCACAGTCACATCATCCTAACGAGGATTATCCTATATCAGCCTAATATCATTGATCTCCTCCTAAGGAGGATTTTCCTGGCTGGTGACAGCTGCTTATGTATGTATATGTATATGTATATGTATATGTATGTATATATATATATACCCTCTGGTAATTTAACATAGCTATGGAAAATCCATTATAAATGGAGGTTTTATTGGGAAAATCATCTGTAAATGGTCCATTCTCCATAGCTATGTTAGTTTACCAGAGGGTATGTATAACATCCTGAGGATCATCATGATAAGGATCCTCCTCAGCCGCCAAGTCACCCACAGGGCAGCGCGAAGGCGCGCGCCGGGTCAAGGCATCGATCTTGATCGCTGTGGCAGCGCCGCTCCTGGCGGGTCACTTTTTGTTACAGGTTCCCCAGGTTCCCCATGGAAAATGGATGAAAATGACCCAGTTTTAGTTGATTCTGCGATGAAAATGGTGCCTTTCCATGATTTTGCATAGCTATGTTAGTTTACCAGAAGGCAACCCCATTCGAACCATGAATATATCCACCTTGAAATTGGGCATCCCCATTCATAGATGGCCATGAAATACCATTTTAGAGTACTATGTGTGTTTGCGTTTATATAAGGACATCAGTAAATCCAGAGGTTTCCCAAATCATTCCCAACATATGATATATTGTATTGATTATATCGTTCCCAACTCTCCATCGATGTTGATTCCGACATCATATGTAGTATACTCTAAAATCATTCTCCAACACATCGTGGTTTCCTGAGTCATCCGGGTACCCTCAAATTCATCCAAAAGTAGACCAATTCAGTCTTGCATCCATGGTTTTGGGGATCCCGGATGACTTAAGAAACCTCTATGGTTTCCTATAAATCGATGGTATCCCGGGTCATTGATGGGAATATCATGGAATATTCATTGATATCTTAGATATCTTGGATGTATTATGATCTGTTGGATATATTGGATATATTGGATATAATGGATATAATGGATATATTGGATATATTGGATATATTGGATATATTGGATATATTGGACATATTGGATATATATATATATATATATATACCATTAATATCCCCAACTAAACCTTCGTATGTGTCCACCTCCGTATGTTCCCATTCCATCCCCAAAGTCTGAAACCGGGTCACCATCTCTGCTTCCAGTGCCCGTAGCGCCAGCGTCTGGAAGGCCCACCGCACTCCTGGTCGCCAAAGTAAACCACATATACAAACATGATCAAACATTAATATGTGGTTTAGTATATGTAACATTAATGGGATTAAACATACATTCATTAATATGGGATTGAGCATGGTACATTTCATGGGATTTAATAATTTAATTAATTTAATATATATATTCCAATATGGAAGATTATGGTATATTTGGATGTTTAGTTGGCATAGATATGATATGATTGATCATGTGGGCAACCCAATGCAATAAACCTATCATTTGGGGCTGGATGGAATCCAACCTATTTATGGTGATTCGGGGATGGTAAGTTGAGTATTGGGTTTACGGTTTACCATATTACATATATCTTCTGTTACTGGTTGGTGGTTTCAACCCCTGAAAAATATGAAAGTCAGTTGGGATCATTATTCCCCATATATGGAAAGTCATAAAATTAATGTTCCAAACACCACCAACCAGATAGTTATATCTACCATAAGCCATAGTTAAACCATGTTATATTGATGGAGAGTGTTTCCATAGGACATGATCTTTTGATGGAGTTTTTTCATGTTACCATGATCACCATGGAAAACCATGGAAAGCCATAACTACCCGGTTGAGTGACCGATGAAGCCTGATGAGGGCTCCCAAATGTGGGAATGAGTCTCATTGGGTACCAAGGGATCCGATAGAATATATAGAATCTGGATTTTTGAGTACGAAAAGATCATAAAAGATCCATTTGGGGGAGCTGATCACTTCGGCCCATATTCAGAGTCTTCGTCTGTGTCTGTGTGAAAAAGCCTCGGTGGTTGTGCTCTCCTTGAAGTCCGAGACACACACATTCACCAACAAAAAAAACTTGTGACGCCAATCCACAAAAAAGAAGACAGACCCCGATTAGACTTCCTTTTGCATCATGTTAATCATGTTTCAATGAAATCATAAGCCCCACTGTTTTAAAAAAAGGAACACATCAGAACACATTCAACAACTCATAGTAACCGTAAGTCCCTGCTATTGTCCGCCCAGGGCACCCCAAATCTAACCGTTTCTCACAGGAGAAGTTTCGAGCAATGCAAGATGGACGGTGTGGGGGGTAGAATCCCGGGTAGAAACTCCAAGTGCCGTTTTCGGGAAGCCGCAGTAGATGATCGATGTGGAATTGCTGGGATTTATGGGGGGGGAACTGGTTGATTTTTTTGTCCCAGAAGCTCAAACAAAACGAACAGATTTTGATGGTTCCCTCAAATTGGGGGCAATTGCCTCAAACTTCACCATTGGCTTCCCCTGATCAAGAATGATGAATTTAACTTGGATGATAACTTGGGTTCCATGGCTTCGGAAACCCCAAATAGACGCAATCTGACACAAGCCATGCAGGGGCTTCCCAGGGCACAAACTTGTAGGCCACACAAGGGTGACGTGGGCCATCCAAGTAACATCAGTCCACGTGGCCGGCGCGGCTCAGAATGGAGTTAGAAGATCATGTTCTTACTCCCAGAACTGTGTATGCATTATCTATATTATACATATAATTATATATGTACACGATAATATATATGTGTGTGTACTGTATATGTACGTGTATCTACGCATATCTGCAGACATTACATATAAGTACAAGTATGTGTGTGTTTGTCTATTAAAATGGAACATGGATGTGATTGATATATAGACATATGTCGAGAGATGTATGATGTATGTATATTTTCTAAATGTACATGGTCATCGTTGGGTTTGTGTGTTGCTTTTTGCTCAGGTGTTTTTCCGCTTTTTAAAGGACCCTTCATGCCGCAGCCAGCACGGGCGTTTCAAAATCACCAAGAAGCCCCAGGACACTGAGACCTTTGTCTACAGTTCCCTGCGCCCCTTGCTCCCAGCTGAAGCATGCTGAAGCCACTTGGCCCTGAAAACTTGTTCGTTGAAAGAAGAGGGGTGCGTGAAACTCTCCGTAAGGACAATGGGTAAATGATGCATCTGTACTTTAAAAAAGGATATACGTATATGATCGTATATGCATATGTGTTTATTTAATGTGAGCAAAGCAATGATAAAACAACCATATGTTGATGGTTTATACAACCCATATTTACGGTCAATTTTGGAGAATTTACTATTGCGTTACTAATTTATTCAATTACTGTTGATGATTATAAGTATATAATATAAACGGTAGATGATATACCAGACCAGACCTTTGATTGTTTCCTGAAATTTGCATAGTTGGTCCCACACCCGATTTTCGGATTTTTCATGTCCCATAGCTGTTGGGTCATCAAATAAGCAGCAAAAACATGCAAAACCAAGGAATTGAAGCAAACAAAAAATGAAGACATCACGCAATATTGTCAATGAGGAAGGAACCTTTCTGTCGCCCTTCAGCTGAAAGAGAAATGCATTCCGGAAGGAATCAGGGACTTTAGTCTGCCTGAAATTCCAAGCAATTCAGGAAATGGACGTGTCCCAGGTATGTTCTATTCGCTGCCAAAATCCCTTGGGAACCAGTGGCAAACATCCCACCGAATCTCTACATCCCACCGGATCATCTCCCCCCCCAAAAAAAAAACGGCCTGTCCGATCTGCACATGTTTGGAGATATGTCATATACCCTCTGGTTGTTTAAGCTAGCTATGGAAAATCACCATGTTTAATAGCTAGATATCGGTAAATCATCCATTATATGGGGCAAATGTTCCATAAATCTTTGTTCTTGGTGCCTGCAGTTGCTGATTTGACCATGATACAAGGAGACATTTCGTTGTCCCTTCTGGTGCGTTTTACGTAGGGAATGGATGGGTTGCTGAGGGTTGGGATGATCACATCCCTTCCCCCGATATAGCCCCCGATGGGATTCATTACAAGCACAACGCCAAGCAGCTCCCTCCACTAGATAAATCGCTACCCTGATACCATAATATATACATTATATATATATATGTATACATATATATTATGTAATTATTATGAATGGGCCCCATTGTAATCCATGGTAACTACTGTATATCCCCAAAGATCATTGGAACACCTCCACCTCCACCGTACTCACCTTAGGCCATCGGTGTATGATGAATCCTCAGCGACCGTGCTGCAAAATCGGGGTATGACTTTTGGAAATCGTGGGATTGTTGACTCACCAATGGGATTCATGTGTGCATATATATATATATACATTATAATATTATATAAATAATATATAAGATATAATCAATATAATAATATAATATGATATAATATACATATACAGATATACATGTACAGATATACATATACAGATATACATATACAGATATACATTTACATATATACAAATACATATATACATATACAGATATACCTATACAGATATACATATACAGATATACATATACAGACATACAAATAAAGATATACATATACAGATATACATTTACAGATATACATATACAGATATACATATACAGATATACATATACAGATATACATATCCAGATATACATATACAGATATACATATACAGATATACATATACAGATATACATATACAGATATACGCATACAGATATACACATACAGACAGACATATACAGATATACATATACAGATATACATATACAGATATACGTATACAGATATACATTTACAGATATACATATACAGATATACATATACAGATATACATATACAGATATACAAATACCGATATGCATATACAGATATACATTTACAGATATACATATACAGATATACATATACATATACAAATACATATACATATACAAATACATATACATATACATATACATATACTATACATATATATTATATATATATAGTTATATATATAGTTATATATATAGTTATATATATATAGTTATATATATATATAGTGGGATAGAATAGGAAAACTCCCCAAAACCGCGCCGACAACTGGGGGATGTGATTATGGGAACCCTTGACATTTACATATGATTCCGATGCAGTTCATCGTATGCCAAAATGAGCCTAACAAGTTGTGGTTTAGTGTCGAAGTATCCGACATGTTGAGCAAAAAAAAAAGAGCCATTGGTACTATATATATATATCAACTCTATCCCCCATCAAAATTGGGTACGGTAGATGACATGGGACATGACTCCAGTTCCATCTTCCAGGGTTCAATGATGCCTTTGAATTGGGTATACCCCGCGAGTACCCAGACAAGCCCAGTAGATTCCCTGAAGGATTAACCGTTATGGGGAAATCTCCTGAAATCTCCTGAAAACTCCCAGAGTTTCCATGGTTGAGTCGGGGATAAAAACACATGTTTAGGACCATGGAACAGGTGAAACCAACATGTCATCCAACTTGTTCCGGTTACCCAGAAATCCCAGCTGCATCTTTTCTGGATATTCCCAAGGTTTTTTTTCGTTTGCTAGTTCAATCCAAATGTTTGTCATGTTTGTTCCAGTTGAATCTCGGTATATCTCGGTATCTATCCATTTCTTGCGCATTCAATCCCAAATTCCTATCATTTTGTTGGCTAGTCCAACCCCATGTTTTCTTCAATGAATTGGGTCATTGCTATAAATCTCAATGTTCATCAATATCATTTTTTGTGGCTATGGGCCATGTGATAATGCCCATATTTAGTTCGTCGGTTTCCCATTGCCAGCCATGTTTAATTCCTGGTTTCAACCAATCTGAAGAATATGCATGTCATTCGGAATCATGATCACATTGTTGAAAAATGCTAAACATCAAAAATAGTTGAAACCCACAAAAACCAATTCTGGTTTATAAGACACCAATTTGATCCCAATGAAATCAATCGAAAATAGGCCACCAGCTTGTTGGCATGTCCCCATGATGTCCCCATTTTCAATATCATCCCGGTTAGATCTTGCTAAATCCTCCGTGCAAAAAGCCCCAACGGGTACGCTGCAGCCGGGGCCACTCATCTTCCGGCACTGGCAAGTCCGCACAGTCCGAAGTTGTGGCAATTCCCGCGGCGGGGCCGTTGGTCAGGGCCGCCACCATGTCGCTAATGTCGGCCGTGCAGAGTGCCTGGCAACGCTGCTGGGCCATGGCAGTTCCCTTAAAAAAAGGGGAGTTTGGGGATGGTTTGGAGAAGTTCTTCACATGTTTCGGATCATTGGCCAATAAATTGGTGAATTTTAGGGATGATAGTTTGGGGTGAAATGATGATATGCCAATTTTGAGACTTTGGGGATGGTTTGGAGGTTTCTTTTTTTTTAAACTGGGGTAATTTTGGGCAAAGGTTAGTTCTGTCATGATTTGGGCATGACTTGGGCGTGACTCATCAGAATTTCAGCCAAAGCAAATGCCACAATGGTCCTAAAAAACTACCATGTGAATCAAAATTTATCAGGTATACTCAGAAATTTCTTGAATCGCTTTCTAGATGTCTTTCCTCAAACAATCATCTGTCACTTGTGGTCAGGCCCTGGCTCCAGTGCCTTCTGCTTCTCATATTTGGAGCAGTCAGACACTGCCAGGGCGGTGAACTGGGAGATCCACGCGAAGGAGGAGATGATATTCCTGGACGATCTGAAAATAGGGTACCCCAATTACCCCATTCCCCTGGTCGATGATGATTTTCCCAAAATGGGCATTGGGGTGGGATACATATCCTATTTTGAGACACACTCATATAGTTCCAAGATGGGATTCGTTGAAAATGTATGGGATATCCAACCGCAGATAGCAACGAAAAGGTGAAAATAACAGGATAACTTGGGATAACCAACAAATATCATGTCGTGGAAAAGGCAACCAGTGGATCTTAGCGAATGGCCAGGGCTTGGGATGGTACATGAAGCAGAAACAATTGGAAATTGTGGGTCATAAAGACATGGGTGTTCTGCTCCCATACTATGTATATTTATATGTAGATATTTATAGGTTACGTATATATATATACATATATATATAATATGATGTATATACGATGTATATGCATTATACATGTCCAAAGGATACTAGTGGAGTCAGCATGTTTCGGCCAGGGACACAGCACAAAACACCTGGTGACATCCCTTCTGTTCGTTTACTTCATCCGCAAAAAATCGCTGAACCCAGTCCATCTGTTGAGACTTCCCCGAACAGTGTCACCTATGGCCTGGCATTTCACTGTTTCTCTTTCTCACTGGTTCTGAAATCCCAATGTTTGCAAATATTTCCACTTCTGTTGCTTGTCCAAATCCTCTTTCTTGCTGCAAAACTCTTCAATTCTGTGCTGCTGTTCGCTTGAAACCCCAATTCCTGGCAGTGAAATCCCCATGTTTGGCGACTTATATCTCAATCTTGCTGGGTTATAGATATAAGCTATAAATTCCCTAAATTCCTTGGATTTATGGTGGATATCCACATTTCAAGCAGTGAAATCCACCAAATTCCCATAAATTGTCCATGTTTTCTTGGGTTGAAAACCACCGAAAATCATGGAACATCACAGAAAACCACAGGAAATCATCGAAAAAAGAGGTCAACACATCCCAAAAAAAACTATAGGAAATCGAAAAATCAACAGAAGTCCATAGGAAATCCAGAGGAATCCAGGGATTTTGTTCAGCACCAGGCAACATGATACCGATGGCGCAAGCTCTTGGCTGTGGACACGCGAACGCCGCGCTGCGCAGCTGTAGGATGGCACGGACGATGTAGGAGGCGCTGTTGGTGACGTCCATAACCTGGATAAAAATGAAGCGATTAATATGTACAATATATATATACATATATATTTATATTTATTATTATTATTATTATTATTATTTATTGTTATTATTATTGTTATTATTATTATTATTATTAGTAGTATTATTATTATTAATTATTATTAATTATTATTATTAGTATTATTATTATCATATTGTATATTATATAATTATATATATATACTATAATTATATGATCTAGTAAAGTGGTGGTATAATGATGGTATACTGATGGTTGGTACAAAGGCAACACAATGCTCCGGCCCCCGACCGACACAAACCGCGCGATGTCGAGATACACACTGCGTGATGTCGAAGTTCCGATTCCGCTGCACCGTGTTGAAATGGTCCCAGTGGATCCTGGAGGTGAAACTCACCATTGATTTAATGGGATTTGATAGGATTTAACAATGATGTAATGAGATTCGATAGGAATTCATAGGGTTTAATGATGATTTAGTGAGATTTAATGATGATTTAATTATCATTTTAAAGGGATTTAATGATGATATAATGTGATTTAATGGGAGTTAATAATTATTTAATGGGGTTTCAGGGTGTACATCATCAACATGATATGAGTTAGATGTGTTTGAAGATGGTGGCATACCCACAAAAATCAAGGTCATTTGGTTGCTGGGAACATGATGAACCAGGGCCTTTTGAGGTCCTATGGCTACAGTCCATCCAGGACATATACCTATTTTGGGGATTTTGGGGTGTTGGGTTTCGACCCCAAGAATTTGAAATCCCCAACAATCCGCGAAAGGCTAAAAAAATCATGTCTGACCGGACAAAATGTCCTCTTTTCCACCTCATCCTAAGTCATCGTTGTAGCCGGGGCACAGGGTATCGGCTTTCCCAGAATTCAGCGAGGGGACGAAGTTCTTCCAATACCTTTGCTGTGATACGACTCCGGCTTCCAGGAGAACTGGATCAGGGTGTCAAGTTGTCAAGTCATAAAGGGTGTCCCAGTAAATCGTATGGTAGATCCTAAATTATATATACTAAAGTTGGTTTATAATAGTAGGTTAAGGGTTGGATTTATGGTGGATAGCTCCATAACAGAGATGGCATTCTTGGGGGATTCTGAACCTTACCATTGAAGTTTCACCACCAGGACTAGTCGCACCAAGGTCGCCACCAAGCTGCGTATGCGGCATGGAATCATCATCGGTGATGCTGAGAACTTTCAGCCAATCCTGGCGTTTTTTGCGATTTTTTCCGAGGATTTATAGTTTATACCCTCTGGTAATTTAACATAGCTATGGAAAATAACCATTATTAATGGGTAAATCCACTATTTCTATGGCCATTTTCAATAGCTACGTTAAATTACCAGAGGGTATTAGGATTCGGATGTGGTATCCCCAGTGATATGTGGATCAATGATAAAAAGGGGTGTGGATTTATTGGGATGTCGTTCCATGAACTACTGTGCTTCTTGCGAACGGGATTCCCAGTTCATGGACGATGAAAATCCGCGATCCCAAATATGTTGGGGACTAGAACCCCGAACTACCCTCTGGTAAACATACAAAAAACTATGGAACATCACCATGTTTCATAGGAAAATTCACGAAAAATTGTGATTTTCCATAGTTATGTTAGTCATTACCAGAGGGTAATCATCAACCAGTCGGGTGTCTCGCAGCCACTGCACGGGCCCCAAACAAGCAATTGACTGGCTCACCATTCGTGGATTTTGGACCCCGAAAAGTGTTTCTTTCCCAGGGGAAAAAAAACAGTGGATCAATCTGATTAATGATGGATTAATCCCATTTAATCTCCAAATGGAATATATAGATTAAATGGGATTAAGTTTCCAATCAATGATGGGAATATTCATTGTTTAATCCATCATTGATATACCAAATAGAATCTTCAGATATCAGACACTTCTTTCCTTAAGTGCCTGGGAGCATCACAATGTCTGAAGAGATACCTCCAAAATATATCTTCACCGTCTTGGCGTCTTGGCAAAGAACAGTCCAAGTTGTGTCCCCATCAACCCAAGATCCCTGGTGAAATGGATCATAATACGAATGTTACCCAATAAACCTCTATAAGGGATGGTTTATGGCATTGGGTAACACCCACATTGCAACTCAGTCAGCTAGATGGTCAGCAATCGGTCTTTAACGTCTTGGAACCACACATGTTGAGCCAAAAACGGCACCTTATTGGATGAAAGAATTAGGACACTGCCAAACAGCAAACCTCAAAAGACCCCCAAACTGTCTCATACAGTGTGTATATATATATGTATATATAAACTATGAATGGAATTGAAGCCTCAATATCCTCACTCAACTCCTGGCAAAGAAGAAAAATGAAGAAAACACTCCTGGAGTGCAGATCTAACTTATAACTACAGTAGTTCAGGTCGTAAACCCATTCACCTGGGTAATGTCTCCATTCCAAAACAAAGCCGCAGCTCATGCTTCTGAAAAAAAAACTGCATTCATATTCACTTGGTCTGCCATCCTTTGGCCCATTGAGATCCACTGAGCCAAAATCACGAGTTTTACCGTTCACAGAAATGTTAGTTTTTTTCAAAAAATGTCTGTCAGAAATCAGAAATCCAAAAACAAAATCCCCAATCATCCTGTGACGAACAGCCTCCCAACTATCATGTGGTTGGGTATATCATGTTTCTCTGAAAATTAGCTACCCCATTCCATCCACTGGTTCATCATCATGTTCCCGTATTTTCAGTGTGCGCGCCAGGTGGGTTCGGAAGCGGTCAGACGCTGCGACGCTGCGTATTTTCCAATATTATGCCTGTGTTTCCCCAAGATCCATATGGAGGTGTCCAATCCATGGGGGTATCCGGAAATCATCCAGTCGTCATGGATGACCATGTTAGTATTGAAACCCATGGTGACTTGGGGATCACCCATTTTCAGAACCCCCCATATATACACATACATGTATGCATTACATTACATTACATTACATTGCATTACATTACATTACAATACATTACATTACATTACATTACATTATGTATATACATATATATATACTGTAGGTGCCGGAATTATAGAACGGAAGTTGAGGAGTACGAAGGTACGGTTATTTACCGTACCCTGTTGTTCTATAATTCTGTTTTCCTCGGAAGGTGTGAAAAAAAAAACGTATATGAATTTACTCCTAACTTTTTTCGTCGTTCTACAATTCTTGTCGGAGCGCTGCTGTTCTATAATTATGTGTTCCCCCATTTTATTATCATATCATATCATATCATATCATATCATATCATATATACTATATACACATCCTACAGCTACCCCACCCCCCCAGCGCCGTTCCGACCCCGCACCTTGCCGAAGTCGCAGTCCTCCTTCACCGCAGCGCCTACCGTGGCCATCTCCCCAAAGTTGGCCATCAACGCCGTCCAGTCGCCTGCCTGAGCACAATATCGTGCAACAAGATCTTGGAGATATGACATGATGTTCCAATAAGGTCCAACTACAAGAAGATACCATAATCCACTGTAAGATATGTTAGGAAATTCTGGGGGAAAATAAATAAGACAAAAAATCCTGGCCTGGACGGTTTGATGCTGAACATGTGCCCTTCCATGGCCAAAAAAATCGGACCGAGCTGCGCAGAGCGCGTCAGGCTTCACGGCGATGTGACAGGCGGAGGCTGCGAAGGACAGGTAGGACGCGATCCTCGGGCCATGAGAATCGCAAGGAATGTACCCTCTGATAACCTAACATAGCTATATGTTGAAAATTGCCATTTATAGTGGATTTACCCATAAAAATTGTGGTTTTCCATAGTTGTGTTAGTTTACCAGAGGGTATCCATCAAATTGGATTGACTACCCTCTGGTAAACATACAAAAAACTATGGAAAATCACCATCCTTCATAGGTAAATCAACTATCAATGGGCACTTTCAATAGCTATGTTAGTTTACTGGAGGGTATCCATGAAATATCTTTGAAATATCCATGACATATCCGTTAATATCAATAATAATCCCAAACATTGCTGAGTTATGACCATTTCCATTAGGGTAAATGCACCATACAACCCATCCTCATGGGTCGAATCATCCCATGCCATTTCCAATGCTTGAAGTTTCAGATTTATGTAGCTGGGTAACCGTTTCCTCCATTTGATGGGCTTTCTTAGAATGAAGGGCCCCTAAAAGAGTGTTTTATTTTAACTCTGACATAGCCTATAGGTTTCCATGATTTGGGGGTACCCCAATTCTCTAATACCCAGTCTTGATCATTGTGGCCTATCCCAGCATCTTGCAGCCACAGTTGGATGGATCAAAACTATGAAAGACCAGCCAGTGATCCAAAAAAAGATTTGGCGATGACGAACATCCAATCCAAAAATCATCGCTATGGAGTGAAGACCAAGATGGACCCTTGATCCCTAGTGAAGCATTGGACCCTTGAACACCCCAGCGGATTTTCCCCCATCATCCCCATCCACGTTAAGCCAATTGTCCAAGTGATAGAAGTGATGAAGCCGGCCACGCTGGCAGCGCAACCTCCACGGGCCAGGCAGTGATGGCGGTATTTCTAGATCTTTTTCGGCTGAAATTTGATGTTTACCCCAGGGTAAACCTACAAAAAGATGTGGAAAACCTATGGTTTCCGTTCGGAAATGTTCAAAGTGAATTAGAAAGACCGGATTTTCTGGGTCTATCTTAGTCACTTAGTCGACTCGAGGGTACCCTCTGGTAAATGATTGTTCATTAATGGAGATTTAAGCAGCAAAAGTATTGGGATATCAATGGGATGGAAAACATCATGTTTATCATCGAAGTAAATGGGCCATGGCTTCCATAGCCATGGCTTACATCATAGCCATCCCTCACCAAAGGGTAGCCACCAAAAGTCGCAGGATATTGCAACTGGAAAAAGTTTGGATAAGAATGAACTATGAAACACAAGAAATCATGACCAACCCGTAGAGATCGGGTTAAGCGCTTTTTCACCAACCAAAATCTTGGGATTTGATGGCTTTGAGCAATAAAACCCGTCCGTTTTAGGGAAACATATCATACCAATGGATGTATGATGATGTATATCATACTGTATATCTAATATCTGTATTATAAGTATGTATTGTATACATATTATCATATATGTATGTATATGTATATGTATATGTATATGTAATATAATATCTCTGTCTCACTTTATGCATCCCTACACGAGATCACTGGCCGGTTGACCATCCCCCCAAATATTAGGATGATCCGAAACTTTTGACTCAACCGTGGGCCATCGATCCCATTACAATCAATAAATCATCATCACGGCGCCGGTAACTTACCGTTCAGATGACCAGATATTGGTCCATGGATCCAGATATCCATAGTGGCGAGTGTTCTATCCTATTGAAATTCCATTGAAATTCAATTAAAATCCCATTAAATCATCAAATCCCATTAAAATTTAAAATCCCATTAAATCATCAAATCCCATTAAAATTTAAAATCCCATTAAAATCCCATCAAATCCCATCAAATCCCATTAAAATCCCATCAAATCCTCAGTAACTTACCATAAAATCCCCTTCTGAAAATTCAAAAAAACACCGTGGTTTCCACCGCCGTTCCCGCCTGATGGGCTGTTGTCTGGACACCTGAGCCCGTCGTACTTGATGGCCTCACGATCCCATCGGAAGCGGGGCGCGGGATCCAACGTCAAATAGGAGGTGTTTTAGGCCCCAAAAACCACAAATATCACTAGTGATCATCATGAAAAATGTACATCACCCATGTGGATATACAGTCATAATGGAGAGTTGGCGGAAAACAACAAGGAATTCTCCAACATACAAGAAATAGAATCCGAAATCGACAAACATGCAAACCAGTGGTCTGTAGGTAATGTGTTCAAAAAAAAATCGGTACTAAAATGAACCATGAAATGAGACTGCTGGACCATCTTTGGACGCGGCAGTTTAATAATTGTTCAGGAGGAAAAATGTTCAAAGAAACTGTTGGATTGGGAGTGTGCCTAATTTTCAAACTACCAGGAGAGGAGACATGTCATCACATTGCTTACAAATGATACAGTCCCTTGCATCAACTCACATACCCTCTGGTACTCAAACATGTCTTGCTGGAAAACATCCAGTTTAGAGATGATTTTCCGTGATGTTCCCATTAAAAACACCATTTATAGAGGATGTTCAATTGCCATGTTTGATTACCAGAGGGTAACACACCTAAATCATCCCTACATATGGTTCCCCTGAACGCCCTTCCAAAGGTTTGCCCACAAAAGCACCATGCGATAGGCTGGTGATACTTGGACGATTTGGGAGTAGACATATCTACCTTTGTCTATATGTACGTATGGATTTGTACAAAGTTCCTGTAGATCACTGTAGATGTGATGATACCGTAGTACTGGCACATCTCTTAGATCAAAAATAACTTATAACAGATATATCATACATATCTTAAACCAAAGTTACTGTAGATACCTTGACTGTTGATACCTTGATCATCCATTCCAAAAACTGTTTCCTTTTTGGTCACCCGCCGGCCTTGTAGAGGAAGACCACGGCCTGTCCCAGATACGCAGCGGCTTGGACCACGTCGATCACGCCTGGGGTTTTGATGCAAGTAGCCAGCCTATTTATGGCTATCTTATGGGGATTTCATGGGCATTTCATGGGATATGAATGGGGTGTGTATATATATAATTATATATATAACTAGTTAGGCACGGGCACAAGCTTAGCTAGCCATTTTCGCTCACCATCGGCCCCAGTTTTTTTAAGGATACATCCAATAAGGATTCATCCTCTTCCTTTGGCATGCTCGCCATGGACGTTTCGATCTCCAGTACAAGTACAGTACATCCATCGAAGCTCTACACTGGTCCACGACCTCGCGGCAAGCTAACTGGTCATCGACAGTATTTTTCTCTGGGCTTCTCTTCCAGCAAAGTTCTACTACTTCAACATATTTCAACATCGTCTCCATTTACAAGTTTCTGTATCTTTCACTATCAACTCCAGTTTCGAGACTATCAGGGGAGTCTTGCACATCGTTTCCAACTTCGCTTTCTCCTATATGCAGCTGGAATGTACATTTCTCGTTTTGCTGAACAGAAGGGGCCAGGACATCTATCCCCAGCGACATTACTCAATCCTGTGTACTAGATGTAAAGCACCGGAGCCCGCGCTGTCTCCGTTTCGATGCTGACTTTAATGACCTTACCCTCTGGTAAACATACAAAAAACTATGGAAAATCACCATGTTCAATGGGTAAATCCACTATAAATGGCCATGTTCAATAGCTATGTTAAATTACCAGAGGGTAAGCTATTGGATCTTCAGCAATTCCATTTTAACTCCAATTCATGTTCATTATTCACAAGATTTCACAAGTCTCAGACCAGGACTCTGCGGCTCTGCGTCTAATCTTTTTATGTGTCAATTGTTCAGGTGCTCCTTCTTGCTACAGATCTCCTCCTAGATACACAGAATCCAGGACTTTGCGTCCAATCTTATAAAGATACAGCCTATAAGTCTACATCCCAGAGTGACACCAAGTCACTCCCTCAGAATCAAAGACTCAAGGAACTTCAAGTCCCCTGCCCAGGAGGCATTGCAGCATTCTCCAAACTGAAACTGTCCTCTCACTGTTTTTGTATCAGGTTTTGCCTTTAATTCACTTTCTTTTTGCAACTTGTTTTTCCATGGGGCTGACGGAATGCTGCTGCAGACGTGTGGTTCAACATGAACTACATAGCGCTTGTGAATAAAATATATATATACACCTATTTATTGTGGCTACCTTATGGGCATTTCATGGGATATGAACGGGATATATATATACATATATATATATAAGCACTATTCACCATTTAGATGATCATTTCTGGAATCATTTGGGATTCAACTCACTACCAGAGCTACCCGGCCCGGTGTCATGATACGTTTCCCGAAAGCCGGCGTCAATCCCCGGGAAATCCCCAAACGACATGAACGTTTCTGAATAGCGGCCCGGAAAACTACACTATGAATAGATTATACCCTCTGGTGAACTAACATAGCAATGGAAAGATCCACCATTTTTCATGGGAAAATCCACTATTTCTATGGTCATTTTCCATTGCTTTTTGTATGTTCACCAGAGGGTAAATTGGATCATCAATGATCACTGATCATGGATGAGGAACATGATCATGGAATCATGGATTTTTGGGATGTCATGGGATGTCATTATTATCATGTTTTACAATAGAAAATTGCTGTGCCATGATTAAAAACGATAATAAAATGGATAGCAGAAGGGATTAAAAATTTACTATGTAGAAGGGATTAAAAGAATGGAGGAGTGACATACCCTTCTGACGGAATACACCGAGAAGCACTCTGTGCGGATCCATGGCTTTTCTGACGGCTGCGAATCGTAGAAGAGGTCGTCCAAACGACCTCTTTAACCACAGATGACCCAGCAAGACGTGGCAAACTTGATGATTTTGCCTGCTCAAAATTGCTCAAATTCTATACATATGACATATGCATGTCTATGTATACATATGTATATATATATACACATGTTTGATGTAAATGATGTGTATATATAATATTATATAATCTGATTTCACAAGACCACACATGTTTGGAAACATACGTATGCATTAAGCACAGGTGTGGCCGAAATTTGGGACCTGGAAAGGTCTCGGCAGAGCTTTTGAGGAACTGCAACTGGTGATATCTAGACAGCTTGATTACCACCATGGTGATGAACCACTTCCCAATTTTCATGCACATCCGTTTACCATGCTATGTGCACGGTGATTACAACCATTACAACCGTGGTATGTGGTCTGTTTATATCATTTTATATCTATTCACCGTCTTTGAGTATGGGACGGACGGTGGCTCAAAACTACGCGCAAAACTGGGATACTCGAGAATCGCATGCCTAGGAGTCAAGATTATGGGTTTTGCATTTTTCACAAATTAGGGGGTGTCGTTTTATCTTTTGCGCCCTGGTGAAAACATGCTGTATGGGGTGTGGTCATCCCACCATCATTGGGGAATCGTTATAATGGATCTATAAACCCCTATCAATGTGGGGATGACCATCCGCCAATATTGGTATACAATCCAACTTTGACTATAGTTGGTTATATATATATATCCCATCAATACGTATATAATATATATATATATATTCCCAGCATGAAAATCCCATGTAAATCACCATTTCAATGATTTTTTTTTTAAAAAAAATGTGAGTTGCTCATACCGCTGCGTCCACTGAGTCGCCGGACGTAGTGGCTGTTTCAATTCCAATGTCTGGGCGTGCGCGATCACATCGTCGATGCCTCCACGGCATGTCGATGTGAGCCATTGAAAATAGCCCTGTTGTTTTACCATCTCATCTTACTTGAAAAGATATGAAAAGATAGGTTTCCCATGGGTTAGTTCATAATCCCACACCAGAAATTGCTTCCCTATAATAAGCAATCAGCTTCAAGGTATTTCTAAATGGCTGTCTCGGGCCCCCTAGGCGGAGATACGGATTACGGATCTATCTAGATGATCTCCGATTCACAGAAAGCCAACAACCATCAACCAGCAGAAAAGCATATATTATCACATATCTATAGACATAGTAAGCTAATATAGAATATTCATATATATATATATATGTGTATAGCTATAATATGATTATATTAATTATCACATATCTGTATAGCATTATAGCAATATATTACAATATATTTCTATAGCTGATGTCCATCTTTCTTGTTTACCAAAGCAGTGCCCCAGTGCCCAGTGCGGCCCCCGTGCCGGGATCGGACGAGCTCACCTGGAATTTGTTCCCAGTCTTCGATGGAGTCTTTCAGCTGCGCAATCCGATCGGCTTCCCGATCCGGCCATGAAAAGCCTGGCTGGATCCGCAACGGATTGTTGGATGAAGTTGGGTGAAATGCTCGGTTTGTTGGCATCATCAAAAAAAACGGGATTCAATGGGATTCAATGGGATTGTGGATTGGGATTTGATGGGATTGAGTGGGATAGATTGCCTGGTTGCCCTCTGGTAACTTAACATAGCTGTTGAAATTTATTTGCCCAAAATTGGGTCGATGGTTTACCTATGAAAAATGCTGATTTCCCATACCTATCGTAGCTATATGAGTTTGCGGGAAGGTAACAAGCGGCGGGGTTTGCAAACTGGCTCACCGCAAAACCTGTTGCATCCTTTCAGCGCCTTCCGCCGCAAACATGGCAACGGATTTATCCATGGTTCATCGAGGATGATTTAAACAGCCAATCTGAAACATCTTCTGCATGTTTCAAACTGATGAGTTTTTATCATTTCCATGTTGGCCCAACATCTAAATGTTGGGAGGATCCACCCATTCGAGTTGTCCCCGTTATCGGTTTTCCCACCTAAAAGGGCTACGGCGCACACGATGGCAGCTGTCACTGCTCCCAGCACCCAACACCACCTGTGTCGGGGACGTGTGTAAATCCCATTGTTGGATGGTTTGTAAACAAGGGATCTTAGCCTCAAGTTGAGGAGTATTCTCTGATTTTTTTGAATCTTACTGTATAACTATATAACTAATAATATTATATAACCAATATGATCATTAACAATTATCAACCAATTACCAGTATCATCATTAACCATTATTATTAGCAACTAGAGCTAAATGTTACAAGGACAAAAGACACTATGTATACGGGGTATGGTCATCCACTCCATATTGGGAATCAAAACATAGTGGGTATATAAATCCCTACGGATTAATGATCATCCCTCAATACGGTTGGTTTGGTGATAAATGCGTCGGTTTAATATGTATATACAGTATCTTTCATATATCAACCATTCTGAAACCCATTACTGACCACTAGTATAATTATAACCATTATCTATCATTGTCATGTTCAGATTAACCATACAACCATGAATGGTCGGTTCATAATGGGTGTGTCTGAGAAAATGGTAGTGTCCCATTAAATCCCATCAAATCACCATCAGATATCATCCACAACTGCCGCAAATATCCAAATATTAAACCCCATTCATCCCATTATACGCCGTTAATTCCGATTAAATCACCGTTATCGAAAGAGAAGTCAGCATTAGATATCCATAAGTATCGCAAATATCCAAATGCTACGGAGATATCAGTATATGGATATCCACAATCACTCCATTTATGGAAAATAGATAGTCAATGATATACTCAATCCCCATCAATTATCCATGATGTCTTATGTAACTCATCATAATGGATAGATACATCTTATATATATATATATACCGCTCATGCATTGTTTGGATAATGAGATCCACATGCTATCCACAATGTTGTTATCTATCCAAATACCCATTAAATGACCAAATATTCCATATATTACTAATCCCGTGAAATCTCATTAAATCACCATTAATAAAATCACCATTAACGTGGTAAATCCAATAATAAACCATCCCCTAAAAATCATAAATGGCTGGTATAAACCAATGGTAGGTTTATTAGTGGACATACCACATTGTCTATCATATTGATCATATCCATATCCGAATATCTACATATTAAAAATCCAAATATTCCATACATTTTTTTCATAGTCCAGTCCATGTTCCCATGGAAAATCCATCCCGATTCATGACCATTAGATAGGTGATATATGATCAGTGTCTATCATATCTGGGTTTTTTCTATCACGGTCCTGTCATCTGAAACAAACGCCCATCTGGGGACCATTTGGGATGACCTAAAAGGGTGAAGTCACAAGAAATATCATGTATCTAGATATCATAAAATCACCCTTTTCATATCATATCATATAACATCATATGACACATTCGGATTACCATTAGATAATTAAATCATATATAATATTATATAATTACCTAGATTATCTAATGCAGGGAAACTTTATGGAATATGAATTCATATCACCATCAAACGAACGTCCGCTGCCTTCGGTTTTTCCCACCCTCCTCTTTCGGGGCGCAGATCAACGCCTTTACCTGGCAAAGCTGCGAAACATGGTGGAAAGATATGCAAAATCCAGTGAAAAATGATGAAGAAACATGGCAGTGTGTCAAAACCAATAGTACCCCTGGTGAACATCAAAATAGCTGGTAAATGGATGTTCATCCCCCTAAAAATGGTATTAATAGGTATTGATCCATACCCATATAGGAACAAATGATTGAAGTGATTTAATGTCAATGTGCGAGAACATGTCCGGGAAATCCGGGGAAATCTTGCGCGGAATTGTTTTCTTCAGTTTTAAGAACCTTTAGAAAAGCCCATTCACCCGTGGCTGAAGCAATAATAATTGATTTGACCATTTTTTTTTAGGAGCTAGCACACAAAAGTAGGAGTGTCATGAACAAACATTGGGTTTAAAAAAACGGTTAAAACCCCTGGGAACCATGACCACTTGGTGGTTTCATTGGGATCATCCTTCGAAGTGGCCCAGTACGTATGGCCCCAGCCTAGGACATCTTTATACGGCCATGATATTGTTTGGATAATTACATATTATATCCAAAACATGTTTTTATTATCCAAATAATATCATGGCCATCATGTAACATCAAAACATGTTTTTTTTACGGCCACGGATGCCATCGAAATCTTCTACAATCGGCCGCGGCCAGGTGAGATGAAGAGAGGGGCCCAGGGGGTCCTGAAAAATCACCAGAAATTGCTAGGCGAATGCCATAGAATTGGCTGAAAATGAACCCAAGTCTGACGGTCTACCAAAAAAATATTCAAGAATGAGATGTTGAATATGACTTTCTGTCCACCTTTTTCTGGGTTAACAATGGTTAACATACAAAGATGGTGTCTGGATGTGTATTTGGATATTTGGATGGAAAAAAAACCATGGGAAAGCCGTGATGTCGCATCACCCTGAAAGGTCTTATCATTTCTGAGATGGTTTGTAATATTATACATATATATATATAGAATTGCATCATGCTTTATCGATCTATATATATGTGTGTGTGTGTGAAAAATGTTGCAAATATGTGCCCATAATGGTGTGTATATATATACAATTCACTAACCTTGAATGAGGCCCAAAATGGGATAGTTGCTGCTGCCAACCATCATTCTAGTGACGTGGCAGTGAGATCAAAACAAAATGTATCCAAATGGTAGGTTTATTCATTACTATAATTATAAGGATGTACAAGCAACTCCCGAAAAGGTTTAAAAGTTATTTATCATTATATTATATAGATTCAGATTTTATTATGTCTGCTTTACTTTCTTCATGAATTTTCCGGGGTACCCTCCGGCAATTTCTCACATCAGAAAATTCAAAATCCTCATCAAAAATGGACAAATCCACATTGCACATGGGAAAATCAATGGGAAAATCATCATCACAATGGAAAATCCTCATCAAAAATGGACAAATCCACATTGCAAATGGGAAAATTAATGGGAAAATCATCATCACAATGGAAAATCCTCATCAAAAATGGACAAATCCACATTGCAAATGGGAAATCCTCATCTATTGTAAGCCTGGCAGATGTTTCATGCTGCCAGGTTTGAGTTCCCAGAGGCTTTTTCTTGGACCATCGACCGGCCTCTGAGGGACCATCATCCACTTCCACCATGTCTTTCAGCTCCCGACACCTCAGGTCGACATGGACTTTTGACCGCGGGATTCTGAAGGAATGGAGCGAATATATTCATAGAAAATTTATGTATGGCAATCTTTTTTGGGGATTATGATCTAGCTCATCAATTGGGCAACTGGTTTGAGAATTTGAGTAGAGGTGGAAAATGTCAAGAGAGAAATAAACGCAAAATCACAACTTTAAAAAAAAAAAACATTACTAGGGATATGAGATGATATGAGAAGACAGTCAAACATCCATAGGTGACCAACAAACCAATCATGGAATTGATCCAGTTGATCCAGTTGATCCCAACGGTGCTGTGGTGTTTCTTCAGAGAAGAGAAAGTGTTGGGTACATCAGCATCAAACTAGTGTTGGATGTGATGGTAATCTGAATCAAACCTGCGCTTCCTGGTTTTCAGCTTGGTCTTCAGCTTTTTTATCCAATATGACCAGCCGATCCAGAAAGGACTCTGCAGTGGTTCTATTTCTTGAGGCGGAGATCTCCAGGGAAACCCATCTCCCACCTGCGATGGGAGAAAGAGAAAAACCTCCCTCCTTGGAGCTTTAGGCTTCAGGCTTTGCCACATGATATCATATTTCTGATCAGCAAACCCATTGTATATAATATGTGTATGTATATATTGTATATATATATAATTATATATATATCCATTATATCAATTATATCATATCCCTATGTTTGCTTCTTAAAACCCATTGAATTCCAAATTTTGATGGTGAAACCTGCCAATTAGTAGCTTCAATCGCCATCAAATCCATCCTCTGGTGTGTGGTTTCGACCCCCTTGAAAAAGATCGATTCGTCAATCGGGGTTTTAGGCACCGGAACAAAATATTATATGTTTTATATGATTGATATACTTTACATACTTGATAAACTTTATATTCTTGATATATTTTGTATACTTCATATATTTTATTTACATATATATATATAATTATATATGAGAATGTCCATTTAGATCATCATCCAATATGTTTATAATGAATTCACATCAACCACCAGTCCTGCGTGAAAACCCGAGCCACACGCGGTCCATGGGGCTGTCTTCCAGCTGCTCCCCAGCGCTCGAAATGTTCAAATAGCTCGGCGGCGAGAGCTCCATGACGACCACAGCACTCGGGGATGATTTTCAACCCAGAAATGGAGCAATTCTTCCGCTGGTTCATATGTGGAATATGTGTATTTTGATGTATTTTAAGCCATGGTTCATGATGTGTATGGCCAGTATGGCCAAACATTGGAAACATCAAGAAATAAACGCATGATGTATGTTTTTTCTGATGTGGATACTACTCCCAAAAGATGTTTGGTGGAGCCACTGCCGTCTATCGATGCCTCCACCAGGCGCTTCGCGAAAAGTTGTCCAACCGTCATTTATCAATGATATCCGATATATAGATCATCTGTTCATAAAAGGGATTTCCCTCATATTTTTTGGGATAGAAAGCTTTTATTTCCAATTGCTTGTCCATAGAGGGGATTTCCCCGCTACAAAGCTCCATTTATTGAAAATGCAGCTAAGATCTTGAGCACTGAGCCGAATCAGATGGGTCGACTTGAGAGTGCTGAAACTGGGCTGAAACTGGGCTGAAACTCGCTGGAATTCATCGCAAGGCAAAAGAATATGGGTCCCATGAAAGGATGAATGGATAATAATGGATAATGAATGATAGTAGTTATAATGGATAATAGTAATTTAATAATGAATAATATGACCCATAATAGTAATTTATAATGGATAATAATGGATAATAATGGATTATGGATAATTTGATAGTAATGATAGGATCCAAAACTCGAGGGAACTCCCACTCAAGACCCTGCCCTGCCTGGACTGTATGATCTGTGTGATCATTATATGGGCTACGTCCCCACGTGTTACGCGTTGCAAGCAGTATCTTCCCAACCTCAAGAACCATCCATGGGGGCGTTGGCCTAGGCTGTTTGGCAGGTAGGAACCCCATCTTCAGACCCACCCCATATCAAATTGGCTAGTCATATCTCATATCCCCTGAGATAAATCCTATGAATTCATATCAAATCCCAAAGAGTCATCATTTTCCCATATTTTCCCCCTTGGGGTTCGTTATTTCCCCCGAGTGGAGCCGGGTGCCGCCAGATGTACCCAGCATTCCTTGGCCATTGTGTGCTGACGTCTTCACCACCTCCAAGTCGTTGGCGCTGGCGAAGAGCTTCACCTCCTCCTGCGGCCATGGCTTGTCTTCACGCAGATGCAAAAAGTCATGGTGGTAATAAAGAGCTCTGTGAAGTAGTTCCATCTATTTCTCAACTTTTGGGGGGAAGAAAATGCATGAAACATCATGAAAACATGAAAATCATCTGGGTATCTGTCGAAAACCTATTCTTTATGGGTTTTTTATTAACTCAATGTGTTGTTGCATTCATAATGAAAAGTCAGATAGAAACGACGCTCCTCAGAGACCAAGGATGGGCCTTGATCCTCAGGCTGTGAGGAAAGGAGACGGCTTCAACCCAGCTTGGGAAAATCCACCATTTCCACCATGGTTTTTGCTACCATAGAAATGGGGTTTCCTGTAAACTGTCCCATCCAAAAAAAAATTGAAACCATCACAAAAAGAAAGGCCTTAAAACATAAAATGAGAATTGACATGTCTAGAGAATCACCAACCGCTAGATTAGCTGTCAGGGGGTTCTAATCCAGTAGCTAATCTAATGCCTGACTATCAGCTAGTCTAATCTAACTAATCCCCTAATCTTCCAGTGTCCTGCTTAATGTGGTAAACTCAATTAAACCACCCCCAATAATGCCAGTTTTATGGGTGGTAAAAGCCATGGTAGGGTTAAACGGTTATTGGGTCGTTATACCACATATCATATTGTTTTGTTCATCATAAATCCCTTCAAATATCCCACTAGATCAATTACATCCTATCTGTTGTGCTTGTTAAAAGCCACTAGATTCCCTACTTGGTTAAGAATGGGATGCCCCTAATGGATGGTGATGATCCCTATTGAGTATTGGATAGCATAACCCATTGAAAACCTCCATTTCTCGACGATTTTCCCATCAAAAAAAACTCCATTGATAGAGGATTCTCCCAGTACATATCCCATTGAATATCAATGAACATCAATTATATCCTTAAACTCATGGATTCCTAGATAGAAAACATGGAATATATGTTTGAGACATGTTTAGTACATACCCATATGTTTGCTTGTTAAAACATGTCTCAAACCCATTGGATTCCTAGAAAAGTTCCATGGATTTTCCCAGCTAACCTCCATTTACAGATGATGTTCCCATTAAAACCATTGAAAACATCCATTTCTTGGGGATTTCCATAGATTTTCCCACATTTTCCCATGAAAAGCTCGAGTTTTCCATGGAGTTTCCCCATTTTCCCCACCTTTTCCCCGGTTTCCCACCGCTTTCGAACCCCGAGCCACCGACTTGGTGGCACAGAGCACCGCCGCCAGCGCACCTTTCGCCGCCACTGAGGAGGCTGAGATCCTCGGCTTTTCCAGCAAGGGGGGGCTACAAACATGTGGAAAAAATGGTCAAACATCATCAAACATCTATAAAAATAGAGGGCTTCAAATGATTATGCTGGTTTTTAAGATCTTGAAATTCGAAAATGGTGATGATTCTGGGCCAAACTGGATAAACATTGGGTTTTTAATATGTTTAAATCAGTAAATGTTAATGGGTTTAACTTCCTATAGGAAGTTAAACCACCATTTCAATGTTTCACATCTCCAATACGCAGATATGAGGATTCGTGGATGGTTAAAAAAAATGATTGGAGTCACCCTGCAGAGATCTTGGCACGAATCGTTGCCATCCAAGTTTGACTCTACCGAAGCCCGATGAATATACTCTAAGGGTTCAGCACTGATTGATTTACATCCATTCTCATAGTGCTGATGTGCACTACACAACTTCACACATCTGCAGTTCAATCTACCTATGCCTGTAGAGAAAAACTGCCAGTAGTAGCTGATTTACAACCCCGAACTCGGACTGGCTGCTGTTCCAGTAGCTGGGCACCTCTGCCTCCAAGCGGCTCCATATGTCTGTCCATGCGATGTCGGCACAGCACGTGCCACAAACGAAGGAAGGAGGTCCGATCCCTCAAGGGGGCGAAATGTCTTGCTATGACTCCAGAGCAATGCAGGGAACTCAGAAAATGCTCCAACATTCCCACGGAATTTCAGAGTGATCAGTGATATCAGTGATAAGTGTTCTCCATGTGGGCACGTCTCAGAATGGGGTACGCCCAAGTCCACTGGCATGTTGGCCCATTCAAAGATATTCAAAGTGCCCAAAATTGGCTGTGAAAATTCCCAAAATCAAACCTGACGTGATTGAAAATCCCCCATTTACAGATGATTTTCAGATTGAAAGCTCTTTTTTTGGCTGTTGAATCTCCCCATTTTAGATTTTTGGACCCACCGGAGCCTGCAATCATAGCACAGCATCAGGCCGCAAACATAGCGGCCCCTCGGCATCTCTCCTCAGAAGGAACCCCCCATGGGTTTTCACAGGCCGCTGGGATGATGTTCACCCCCTAAAACTGGTATATTTGTAGCTACTCATCATGGCTATTCCCTAGCCATTTCAGAAAGCGATGTCTTTTTGCAGCAAAGACTGGACGAAATTCAAACCATAAGTTAACTGGATGGATATCAGTACTAGATGCCGCCATTTGTGGCTACAAATCAACCATTCTTTGAACCAAGCTAAGGCTTACCCAGATTCAGGATAACTTCTTGTATGTGCTAAATATATCCTCCTGGGAATTTAGCCTGAGGGTGGTGCCCCCCTCATTTGGAACCGAAACAGCTTACAGAATGGGGGGGGGGCTCATGAACAACTTTCTGAATGATTTCTGTACAACTTGACACCTCCCCAATCTGGGGGGGTGCCAAGGTCTGGATGATTCTTGTTGCCCATATCTCTGCCAATATTTATGAGGCATGTCGATTTTGTACTGGTGCAAAATCAAGGCCAAAAAAATGCAGGTGATACACATTTGTTGCATGTGATGTCTATGAATGTCTATGAATGCTCATGATTTATCATGTTTCATGATGCATTCTTTGGTCCCACATTGGAACTTTTGTGACTGAGGAATGGACACTTTCCAAGATCTCAAGCCTCCTGGTTAGATCTGATTCCGTCAACGTGTAGGTTGGCTTCAGAGGGGTTTGCCATAGGTGTGTTCAAATCCAATCCACACATATGAGTATTTAAGGGCCCACATCACTACCAAATATCAAAATAAATCAATACCACTTAATAGACCATTGCTACACATATAAGGAACCATTATCAGTAAATGCTACCCAGTGGCTATTACATATTGGGAATCTATTGGGGCATGGGGTCGCAGTGTGCGTGCAAAATGGCATTGCCATGGTATTTGTGTAAAAACAGAAGTGGAACACCATTTTGTACATACTGCTCATTGTTTTCCAATTTTGTTTGGTAGCGGCAAAGTATGTGGGCAACCCTGGCTGCCATTGGCACATCTCTACCTGGGGAGGGTTGAAATCCCACCCATCAATGGTGATGACTTGGGGTTTTTCAGCGGTCCCAGGTGCGATGCACTGGCTCCCGACCTGGCGATGGCCGTTTTTGTGCGGTGTTTTCCAGTCTGGGTGCCTCCTAATTTATGGCCAGAGGTGAGGAATCGTTGGATTTGGGGATAACCACCACCAAGGCAGCCCCAGATGGCGCATTGAGACTCTATCTCTTGTAGTTTGGTGTCATGATTGACCTTTCAACAAGTCCCAGCAGCCCCACTGGTTTGTTGTTGGTATGTCAAATGATATGTCTTGAAAAAAAGGAAACACACATCATTATAATCGTATATAATACATATTAATACCGTGCAAAATTATGATTATAGTCATCAACAAAAATCATAATGACAAACATGTAATAGTTTACACGCATTGATAACTGTATATATATATATACAACATCATCATGACTTATTACTTATCATCAACATTCATCAACCATTCTTAAAGCAGCACAGCACGGCCGGCACCTCCAATCTCCATCAGTTCGAAGTCGATGCCTTGCTGCGGCAGCAACTGCCGCAGCTCCGCAAAGAGGGCGCTCTCCGGATCCAGGTGCCACGTCATGCCTTCCGGTGAAAGGGTGAAACCGCAGGGGAAAAACGTAGGGAAACCACGGGGGAATATGGGAAAATATGGGAAACCGAGGGATTTTGAAGGCAAACATAGGGGAAAATATTGGAAAATATGGGACAATTGAAGAACGCCCAAGAAAATCGGGAGTTTATCCCCCTCGCCCATGGTGCTTGGGTGCCCTTCCCTTTGAGAAAGCATGATTTGATATCCGTTAATCATTTGATCCACCGTGAGTTTCTTCAATTGTTGGAAAAGCATGTCCCTCCTGTGGAAAATCTTCCCATAATGATGTCTTGCCACTTGGCTTTGCACCCAACGCATCTCCAGCCCAAAGTATCCAAAGCGATATGTTGTTTTCACACAAATAGGCTACCCCAAACCATTCAATGGTTCATCATCATGATCATCATTTTCTCCATGTCTTGGTTGCGATGTAGACCAAAATACCGTAGTGTTGATTATATAGAAAGGGTCTGTACATATATATATACACATATTATATAGTTATATGCCATAGTTATGTTTGCTTAAAATTTCCCCCTATATATATATCCCATAGCCCATAGCTATATGCCATATCATACATGTGCATATATATATGTATTCATGTGTCAAAAAATATTAAATAACAAAAACGTGCGCGTATATATATGTATATATATAACATATATCGTATATTATATATATACTATATACATATCATATACATCCCGGCGGAAGGGAAACCGCGCGAGCGTTTTGATTGGTTGCTTCGAGGAGAGTCACAATCACCTGTAATTTACAATATAAAATGCTCTTCCGATCAGTTTGGATAACTGAATTTGGGTTAAAAAAAGTGGATGCAAAATCTATTGATTTTTAACAAATCCAGGTAAACATCATGTGCATCAGACGTGGATGCGCAGATTTTTTTTCACACTCTTCGTCGGCTCAGCGATCCATCAGTGTGGAAGCTGTCTTCGACAGCAAGTTGCCACTATGGCACTCATAACGTCACTGCCAGCAACGCAGGTATAGCATGACATCTTTGTTCTGCCCTGCCTTTGTCTGCAAATTGCTAGGCACATTTTTTTAGCCAAATTCCACAGAGAGTCAATCTTCCCAGCAGCAGCAAGGATCTTAGCAGCGTAGCAACATGTAACGTAGTAAACAATCCCAGAGATCTTAGCAGCGTAGCAACATGTTACGTAGTAAACGATCCCAGAGATCTCAGCAGCGTAGCAACATGTCACGTAGTAAACGATCCCAAGGATCTGAGCAGCGTAGCAACATGTAACGTAGTAAAAGATCCCAGAGATCTCAGCAGCGTAGCAACATGTCACGTAGTAAACGATCCCAAGGATCTCAGCAGCGTAGCAACATGTCACGTAGTAAACGATCCCAAGGATCTCAGCAGCGTAGCAACCTGTAACGTAGGAAACTATCTCAGAGATACCAGCAGCGTAGCAACATGTAACGTAGTAAAAGATCCCAGAGATCTTAGCAACATCGCAATATATCCTGTACGAAGTTTGAGGAACGTTAACATGCCCCCCCCCCCCACCCCACCCCGACCCCAACCCACACTAGAGATCTCAGCAGCGTAGCAACACGTAACGTAGTAAAAGATCCCCGAGATCTTAGCAACATGGCAATATATCATGTACGAAGTACAAGGAACGTTAACATGCCCCCCCACCCCACTCCGCCCCAACCCCAAGACAAAGAGCAATACTCACAAAAGAAGCAAAACGCACACACGGTTTTCCTGCCGTAGGCATATACATCATGTGTATATATCTAATATATATATATATATAAATATCATATATGTCATATATATATATTATATGTATATGTATATATATATATGTATATGTATATATATATATCATATATATATATATATATATATATCAGTGTATATATAACATATGTATCATATATATATATCATAAATGTGTTTAAAACTATATTAAGCTATCAAAAGCTATATATCAACCACGCATTTTCCGGCAGGATGCTCCCAATCCGAAGCAACGCCGGGCCTGTCTCCATACCAATACTGGGTTTGGGATTCGAATCGCCTGAGGCTGAGATTTTCTGGGCTGCTGAATGATACCCCCCAAAATGGCCATTTTCAATGGGGAATGGCTGAGAAAATGAACCGAATGGAATGGGCCATGGGGTATCCTACAAACAACCATGACAAAGCCATTTTTGCTGTAGTTTGGATGTTTTTGGTGCTGTCGGCCTAGGGTTCAAATGTTCATTGATGAGGTTCTGGGTGATGGTTGAGGGATTTTTTCCCGCTGGGGTACTTGCTTCCACATGGCTGGGTCTGGAAAAAGGGGATACTCGGATAATTACTCAGAAAATAGCCATTTGACTCAGGATAATTATGATAGCATGATGATAAAACATCAACTTCGGAGGGACCCGATTTTCAGACGGCCTAGACCCATGTTTTGAAGTTGTATCCTCATGATAAATGGTGCCATCAGCTCGAAATTGTAGGCTCTTTGATTTTGCGGACACCCCCTGTCACCATAAGTCCATTGAGTCCGTCAAATTTCTCCATTCCTACCAATAAACCACAAGTTTCTCCATAGTGTGGCCATCGATCTAGATATATTATCATAGTTTACCATGAAGAATTCATCCATTTCAACTAATTACCAGTGACAACATACAGCCACCCCGTTTTCAGAACCGCAAAAAAACCTGTCGTCTTTCGAAAAACGATGTCATCGGTCGCAACAGAATTTATTCAGATATCATATCCATTATCCATGATATCTCATGATTACCTCCTATACCGCCATGTTTGTTGGTTAAATCCCCATTTCTGTTGGTGAAATCACCATGTTTGTTGGTCAAAAAAATGTCGGTGAAATCATCGTGTTTGTTGGTTTTTAAAAAAAAAGTTGGTGAAATCCCCATGTTTGTCGGTTAAAAAAAATATGTTGGTGAAATCAGCATGTTTGTTGGCATTAAGAACATCCGTTCATTAAATCAGCATGTTTGTTGGTTTAAACAAATCTGTTGGTAAAATCACCATGTTTGTGGTTTGTTGGTTTAAAAAAAAAGAAACTCTTGGTGAAATCAGCATGTTTGTTGGTTTAAACAAATCTGTTGGTAAAATCACCATGTTTGTGGTTTGTTGGTTTTAAAATAAAACTGTTGGTGAAATCAGCATGTTTCTTCCAATGGATTTGGCTAAGCATCATTGGCCATGGAGAAAGCGCTGCAGTAGCGAGGTCTTCCCCACCTTTGGTGGGCCCACCACTAACAGCACCGGCGGCGCCATGGCAACGCGATGCGACGCGATGGTTCTATATTTCTATAGCACTATGGATGATTAAAACAATAATTTTGAAACAATATGGATTAATATGGATTAATATGGATTAATAATGATTAATATGGATTAATATGGATTAATATATGGATTTTTCAAATAAGGATTCATATGGATTAATTAATACATAGCTAATCTTAGATATCCTGGAAACAATGTGGCTGGTGAGTATAGATCACAATATCCCCATTCAAGTGTGAAACTATCCATCCATTCTTGTTGCAGTTAAGAGAAATTGCCAGCTTTTTTTTGGTTGATCTGTTTTTTTGGTTGATCATGTTTAGGGCTAATTTTATCTCCAAGAGCGATGGTTTTAGATCCTGAAAACGACGAAAAGGGTCGCGCATTTTGACCCATAAACTTGTATGAATCAACTTCTGAAAGCCAAGTGCGGGGGTCAGAAATCATGCACTGCAAAAGTCGCCAACGGCTTTAAATATATTGCCTGGTATCCTTGGACAACTTCAGGGATGGAAAACCAGAACATGCTGTACAATTAAAGCATACCTGCACTGAACAGTAGCTCAGTAGCTGTTTCTACAATACACCAGATACAGGTCTGGAGCAGCCAAAAAAATCAGGAATTCCACCCAGGGAAATCCTTGGTTCGTCACTTGGTCAGCCCAAATATGGTTGCAAACTCCGGTGTGCATCCAAACATTGATTGTTATTCATTTTTTGCTGACCTCGTATGATTCCAGTTTCTATGACTCTGTTCCCCGTGTAATTCCTATTTTTTAAAAAGAACACGTTGGATCGTTTCCGTACTATTCGTATCATAGTCCCACTTTTAAAGATGGCAAGGAAAACTCTGTGAAAACCCCGAAAAAGTCTCTTAGTGACCAATGGGAATTGATGGCTACTATCTTCATCATATCATGTGCATATGTCGTCAGTACAAAACCATATATCGTCAATAATGTATATAGACATGTATGATCATGTATCATGTATGTATATATGATTATATAGTGAATATATAATGGTATCTTATATTCACAAAGAACTTTGCCTCCGCGGAGGTATTTCTTCAATTGACTATATAAATCGTTCATGACGGTATTGACTACGTACAGAAATCTAATATTGACAGTCAAAAAATATAGCACACAATATTACACCCATGGTAAAAGCCAAGATATGTCACCACAATCGTTTGCATGTCCTGGAATCTATGTTACCTTTGTATAGCAACTGGAGTGCAAGCGGAGGCGGACGAAAGGTAGTGTAGTGGGAGAGGAGTAGGGTCAAAATGCTGAGCCCCTTTTGTTCAGCACTGGGAGATGTCACAGTAGAGGCACACTCTCCATGAGGGAGATGTCCCTGTAGTCCAGCATAATTGGTATGCTTCAGCCTCAGCAACAGTTGCTGCAAGGCGTCTTAAAAAGGGGTTTTAAACAAACCCCTTTTCGTGCATCATTTCGCGCTGCACAAGACACTGTATCATGCAGTCATGCTCTGGATAGAGCATCTTCTTTAAAACCCCCAATTTTGAACAGCTGGACGGTGTTCTTATTTAAAACCATTTTTTTTCGATACAACAAAAAACGTTCTTGCGCAGTCTAAGATGATTTTATCCAGATCATGGCTGCATGATGCAGTGTCTTGTGCAGCGCGAAATGATGCACGAAAAGGGGTTTGTTTAAAACCCCTTTTTAAGACGCCTTGCAGCAACTGTTGCTGAGGCTGAAGCATACCAATTATGCTGGACTACAGGGACATCTCCCTCATGGAGAGTGTGCCTCTACTGTGGAGGCCCGTGACCGCGTCACCCGTGGGAATTGAACCCATGACCATTTCAAGGGGGGGGCTTATTATTGAAATCTAATACATAACGCCTAGAATTCTACGTTTTGCCCGGACTAGCCCCCCAATACCCCCTATGATTGTGCTGAAGCACGGAGAACTCAGGTAGCTGACGCTACCTTTCATGATATGTCCTGGAATCTACTGTGTTACCTTTGTATGGCAATATGACAAATACTGCAAATATCGCCTGTCCATTTGGCCAAAACAGCCTGTCCAAACATATTCCCTGCAGAATCCCATACCTTTTCCTGTTAAATCTCCAAATAGTTTGGGTGCGTCTGGACATGGGGTGCACCCTCCAAATGGCAACGTTGATTGATGGGGAAAATAATGATAAACATTCATATTTTGGGCGGTTTCCCCTAATTGTCAGACAAACCGAAATATATATATATATCATATATATTATATTATATTATATTATATTATATTATAATATTATATTATACTATATTATATTATATAGTATATTATATTATAGTATATCATATTGTAGTATAGTATTTTTTTTTGGGGGTTTTTTTTTTTTTTTTTTTTTTTTTTTTTTTTCTTTTTTTTTTTTTTAGGATATTACATTATATTATATTATATTATATTATATTATATATTATATTATATTATATTATATTATATTATATATAGTTATCCATGAAAATTCCCATTTAGTCCCCACTAAATCTCGTGAAATCCCATGTTTGATGCTGAAATCACCGTGAAAAAATAACGGTGGGCGGCACTGGAGCGGAGGTGGAAGCTCTTCTCAAAGCCCTTCCGCTCCGCCTAGAGAGAGAAAGCCAGGCTGGGTACAGATTTGTTGCTGGTGAATTCGCAGCTCTTAACTCTTAACAAACGGAACTATGGATTTAAGCATGAAAATATTTATATAGTCATGAAAAATCATGAAAAAAATCGAGATTACCATGAATACTTGGGATTGTCATGTCAAGAATGATGCGCGCTCAGTCGAAAATTGGAATGTAACCATCAAAAATAGGGATGCGCTTGCATCCAAAATTGGGATTTATGATTTACCCTCTGGTAATTTAACATAGCTATTGAAAATGGCCATAGAAATAGTGGATTTTCCCATTAAAAATGGTGATTTTCTATAGCTATGTTAGTTTACCAGAGGGTAACCATCCCAGTAAGCAATCATAGCGGGTCATCATAAACATTCTCCGTAATCATTATCCCAAAATCGGGGTAATGCCAACTTCATCAGCCTCCTGGTATTGATGGTAAAGCCACCATTCTTCATGGTAAAGCCATGTTTAATGGTAGTAAAACCACCATTTTTGATGGTGAATTCACCATAATTGATGGTAAATTGACCATTTTTGATGGTAAAACATGGTAAAACCACCTATTTTGAGGGTAAAACCAGCCGTTTTTCAGCCCTGGAACACTTCAGACCCTCGTCCGGTGACCTCTGACAACTTGTCCGGTGTCATGGACAGCACGAAGCGAACGGAGTTCTGCACACATTGACACTGTACAGTACACATTGACAACACTACATTCTATTCCACTACAGCCACTACATTCACTACATTAGGTATGTATAGACATATACATATGTATATATATATATATGTAATATACATATTTGATCATTATATATATATATATATGTGATTATATGTGTGTGAATAATCATATATATACATAAGAGAGAAGAGGTCATGCATGCGTCCGAGTCAGGAAAATGCAAGGAAAATAATCCAACCAAAAACGGGCCCTGAAATGGCACCAGTAGCAGCAACCTTTTCTTCCCCCAGTCTTGCAGATCATTATCATCTTCTACCTCTCTGACCTAGCAGCTATGTTGTATCCCTATCAGAACAGTCAGAACAGACCCCGCGCTTTCTATGGGACAGCAAAGTAAAAAGATGGAGGTTTCCTAAGTCATGGGGGTACCCCCAGCTATCATCCCATTTTTTGGGGATGTTCCATGACATAAACCATCCAGCTATTGGGGTACCCCCATTTATGGAAACCCCATTCTCAACCATTATTAACCATTAGCAACAATCATTAACTACATTAACCATATTATATTATATATAGCCATATTTTTGAGGAAATTCCCGTCTTAAACAGCCATTCTTTGGGGGGTCCCTCCCCCATACAGCTTGGGGTTTCTGGTTTCGTCATTCGGCTCCTCTGAATGGTACTCGCGGATCTCTTCAATGAGGCTGCGCCTAGCTCTTTAAATTGATTAAAGGACTGTTTTTTGCAGGTTCAAAAAGGCACAAAAACATTGTCAAGCCATCCATAATACCCTCTGGTAAACTAACATAGCTATTGAAAATGGCCATTTATAGTGGATTTTCCCATTAAAAATGGTGATTTTCCATAGCTATGTTAATTTACCAGAGGGTAATTGCCATAAAATCCCCGAACTACTGAAATATCTGGGATAAAAACCGGGAATCCCCTCGATGCCAGATAAAATGGCATCCATATGGCACGACTCTTATTTTAGGCATCTGACGATCACATCCCTTCCCCAACAAAAAATGCTAAGAAAATACCGGGAAATCAAGCCGAAAGATGGAACATGATGGGGGGTTAACATGCTTTAACCAACAATTTTATGGTGATGTTCGATGGAGAAAAACAGCGGTATAAACGGATATAACGAGATATACAGTAATGGAATATGATATTAAGGGATATAATGGGATATAATAGGAATATGAACTAACCAACTTGATATGATATTTGAGTGTCTGGAAGTGGAATATGTTTATCTCAATTTATGGCCCTTTTTTGAACAAAAACCAGATATCACATGCGCAATGCGCATTCCACGAAACATACCCCGAATGAAAAACCCTGATCCCCTCGAATCGTCGAATCGCGAAAAAATGCCAAATCAGGTGATTGCAGTTGGTATTCCCATAAATCCCCATTAAATCCCCATTAAATCCTATTTAATCCCAATTCAATTCCCTTGGAATCTCCATGAAATGCCATTGAATCCCATTTTTTATGATGGTTAAACCCACCATTTCACCCAACTTCATCCAACAAAAATCCATGAAATCCCCCCCAAATTTCCGCAGATCCCTCTACTTCATCGCCTCTCTCCCGACTTTGGAAGCTGCTCAAGGAGCCAATCCTTGTAGTCCTTGGTT